CACTCTGGGGCAGGAGGGTGGCGAAGGGAAGGCAGCGAGGCCGGGGCAGCTGGAGAATACGCACCGAGGGGCGCCAGAAAGTCGGCCCGGTGTCTGATGTCATGTACGTGAAAAGGGAACGGGAAGCCATGACACAGAAACGTCTCAGAGGTCTGCCCCTATTGGACAGTACCGACAACTCCTCAAAGGTTCAGTTCCATCAAGCCTTTTCTTCATAAAAGTGGCCAATTTACAAGTTTATCACTAATTACACATAAAAATAGGGTTTTTATATTTCGGCAGGTTAATGGAAAAATAAGCAACTCGAGAAAAGCCCACCACAATGAAAAACTATTTCTAGATAAATGTTGATGGAGCCCAACAAGACGACCTTGTTTTCAGATGACAACTAAAAGCATTTCCATTTTACTCTTGAGCTGTGTACATCTCAGTGCAATGTCTTTAAAACAATTAACTGATTTTTGTATGGGTCTGTAATTTGTTTTGTGGAGGAAAGTTTTAGTGTTGGTTAAGAACATTTCCCTTGAGACTTTACAACCCAAGAAAACGAGTTATTAAAACCTTTGCTATAACCCCAACTTTAAACTTTGAGGTATAAAAACTCAATTTTCTACCTACCGGTAAATGATCAGATTACAATGAAGTTCAAAATATTAGTGGCCATATTTTCATTGTGTTCACGTGGCTTAAAATTCAGTTTAATCCAACTGGAGTTTTCCAACTGCAGAACACTAGTTTATTAATCTCCTGGTTCTTAAAAAAAAATAATAGAGTTTGAGGAAAATGAGATTATGTCTTTTTCTTTAGCAGTAATCCTTGCAGTAACCCAACTGTAGGGAAGCACCAACAGGTTTCTGTGGAAGTCATATTTCTTTGGAACATGGCAACAAATAACTACTTTTCAGATACCCAAAAGCAGAGCAGATGGAATTTGCTAGAGAAGTAAATGAATTTTCACTTCTATCACTCCCGTCAAATACGTGACCTGCTTTATTTCTGATTTAAATGAACTTTGAAACACCAAAGTGTTTGACAAATCTTGGTCTTAGAATGAACGCGTTAAGCCAGCAATTAGATCACAATCCCATTTTTGAAAGGCTTAGATGTGAATATAGAAAATAAGGGCTGAATTCCTCTACTTGTAAACATTTCCCCTTTAAAGTTCCCTTTAAATCGATTACACCTCTACTTTCCGTTTAGAAATCTTATTTTAATAAATAAAAGGGGAAACCGAAATTTAATTTATAAAGTTTTATTTTTGTATATGTGCTAAATCTTAGGAACTGTGGACAATCTTCAGTCTCTTGGCTTGTAAAAGGCTGAGAAGTATGTGATCTGGGTGGTGAAATTTCCTCTTGGGAATCTGGATTTCAAAATGAAAAAAATTTTTTCACTCATTTGCAAGTTTAAAACATGGTGCACCTTTCCCCCCTTTTTTCTTACACCTATAAATTCGGAGGAAAAGTGCTACATTTCTGCAAATGTAAAATAATCTAAAATAATCGTTGTAAATACAATCGGCAGCAAGTTCTTAATACATTTAGCACTTCTGTAGTGATTTACCACACCCAAAACCTTATTTTCAAACACTAAACACTCACATAGGTGCAGGACCAATTTTGGTTGAGCCCTGCTAGGAAACCAGTACTGAATGGTTTTTCTCAGTAACACAAGAACTGGGGGGAGGGGAGGGGTGTTTTACTTTCTCGGCAGTATGTAGTACCTTCAAACTAGAGACCAAAATTGGGCACTTATGAAAAGGCAATTTAAAAAAAAAAAATCCAGTTATAATTCTAAATAAGGCAGGATATATCCACCAAAGTAACCACAAAATTCAGCAAAGTAAGAGTTCACGGGAGAACATAAGCTGGAAAAATACTAAGAAAAAACGGAAAGGAACTATTTTGGAGTAGTCATCTGAGTATTCACAGACGTGCTTTCATTTACAAATGTAATTCAAATAAAAAAGGCTCCTCATCTTTTTAACCCACTACTAGGATTAAGTACTTAAGTTGTTATCATTCACTAATAAAAGCTAATCATGAAAAAAATATAAAACATTTTAATTCTAGATTTGTACATATAACAGCTAGAGACAAGGTTGGGGAATTATCATTGAGAGAAAAATGAACCAAGACAAAAACCCCAAATATGATTATGTTCTTATTTCTGCCTCTACAATGCTGAACATGAAAATTTGGTTGGTGGAGGGCTTAGAAACAGCAGCAATATGGTTTTTACCAAGTTGTGCACTGAAATACTTAGATCCAATAGGGCAAAGCCCTTGTTCACACAGATTAACAATGAAAGTATCTTCAGTCTTTTAAACAGATTCTACTGTCTTCTATAAAGTAATCATGCCATTTAGAATTCCGGGGGTACTTCTTTGAAAGGAAGACTAGTGATTCCGCAACAAACATGTAAAGTAGGAAATATATATATGGCTCAAGAAATCAGCTGAGGGAGAATTAAATAATCTTTAGGCACTTTGAAGACTTGGAAGTTTAAAATGTGCCATTTATGTTCAGAAAAAGACCTCAAAATCCACCACTATGTTGCTCTTACAATAACATGCATCTTAAAATTTTCAGTTATACATTAATGCTTGCTTAAGAGTTAAATATAGAAAATAATTTGCACAAACAAACAAAAATAACACTCTCCATTCACCTCTCCTAGATCCTGGTCACAACACAGACCATTCCTTCCTCAAATGGAGGGGGAAAGGATTCACAAGCCCTCACCTGGCACTAGGGGACTTGTAAATTCAAAGCAACGGAAAGTGGGATCTCCCTCCAAGGAGAAAAATTCACAGCCTTTTAAAATGTCAGGGTTTTCATGTCTAGGAAGTCATTCGTTTTAAAATTAAGTATATTACATACTTTTGTTAAGGACCAGGAAACACAAAAATCATCTCAGACGGTTAGATGGTGTATTTAATGATAGCAACTTGTCCAAATAAATTTAGCCTATTCTGCTCATTGTTAAGGAGGCTTGGAATTGAGGAACTTCTAAATTAAAATTACCAACTGGAACTGCAGACAGTGTGTATGACTCTGGCTCACACTTAACAAACTCAGATGTAATATACTTAAGGTAAAAACAGGATCTATCTGGTGTCAAAATTTCCTAATATTACAGAAAACCTAGAAGCACAGATTGACTACAGAGTACTGCAAATAAGATACCCAAAGCTTTATCTTAAATACCTGCCCCTTTTAATCACAAAATAACACAATTCTCAATTTTGTTTCTGCTTTGTTCAATTCCAACTATAGCCTTTTTGACAAAACATTTGCCTATTAACTGAATTGTAAAAAATACAACCAAGCTTGTGCTCATTAAATATACATGTATATAAAAAACATACAAAAAGTACAAGATTGATTATGTTAGGAAACTTTTACAGTGTCAACAATCCTGTTTTTCTCTAAATCTTTTAGTAAAGGGCCAAAGGTCAAATCTTTCTGTGCACAAAAATTCAATGTGACTGAACTCCTGAATTCAGTGTCATGCCTAGGCATGCTATGCACAGAATTATTTTTAATATGCAGTCCTTAAAAAACAAACAAAAAAAGACAAAAAATTAACCAGAAAACCAAAACACACCACAGGACAAAAAGTTCTTCTTAAATCAAATTCTATTTGTGAATTCAGCAAAATAATTTCTATAAAATAAAACAGCAAAATATTTAAATAGAATAGGGTGGACTGTATCTGTTTGCAGGGGTATTTGGTTTTTAGACAGGTTCCAAAAAATTACACACATTCAAGTTACCAATTCTCCATTAACTGATGAGTTCCTTATCTTTAATTAAATGCTTATTCTGAAATTATACCTCAATTATATTAACTAACCAGTTTCCTTTTTAATTAGACCCTGCTTCAGATGTTAAAATTTTTGGAATAATGGAAAAGGAGCTAGGACAATTCTTGCTTTCAAGTAAAACTGTGACTGAGCAGAAGCTCAGCCAGACATCTTGGTGCAGTGGTACTCCAAATATTGTAGGATTCTGACTTCCACTTCACTGGGATCCAGCAGAAGCAAAGTTTTAAAAGGTTCTCCTAATAAGCTCTACCAAAGAAACAGAACAAGCACACCAAATACAGTCTTCTATTATGTTCCAAGCATCCTGGCATAGCAAATTTTTGCATATTTGTTTTAAATCTTTTAAAATTCCCATTACTGATACTTAAGTTTCCTTATCCCACCCAGAGGCTGAACTGTCAAACATTAGATGTAAGCAACATATGTGTAACTGAAAACCACCTGTTTATCACATTTCTCTCCTTGTTTTATATTTTATATTCTAGGTGTAAGACGGAAAAGCTCTGAGCAATACAGCTGTCGCACTGGGACAACTGCTGTCATTATGGTAATTTTTTCCTCATTGGCTACACTAACCTGGTGTGAAGCCATGCTACATGTTACAGCGTAACTATAGCTTCAAAGTGATTAACCTAACCTCAGAATAAAAAGGCAATGAAAAAGATCTAGAAACAATGTTACATCACCAAATTCTCCACATCAACCAAATAATTTAAAGGTTACCAGCCTTTCACTGCTCATAATAAAACTGACTCCAGTGGCAAAGAATTAACATGAAACTATTGGTGTGGTTGAAATGGATGGGCTCTGGTTTGTTGCTGTTGGTTTATTTTTTGTTTTTGTAAAGGAGTTGATCCAACTGCCGTTAAGGCAGGCAACACTGGTTGCAGAGTGCAATGGGTATAACAAGGAAATAACTTTTGTAGGTTTTGTAGATCTGTGAGTCTCATCAAGAAAAAAGTTTCTTGCTTAAGAATTAACAGTCAAACATTAATATACTATATACACCTTTGCCATTTACACATTAGCATCAGGCCATTTATTACAAAACACTATACACTTTCCACTGCAGGCGGGTTATATATTGACAGCAAATTTCTGCAGGTAAGACAGTGAATAAACTTTCCACTCCATGTTGATTAGGAATAGTTTTTCTAGTTTTAAATATTAGCCAGACACAGAAAAAGGTTGGACTGTAAGGCCTGGGTGCACAGTCTTGATGGAACCAGTTAATCATGTGCATTTCACTGATCCTTCGTCTGAGGTGGGGATACTTCTTCACTGCCTTCATAATTTTCTTGTGCTCGTTGGCCAGTTCTCTGAGGGTTGTTCATGTGATGTGCTGCTGGGCCTGTATACGGCTGTCCATGCACATGGTTATTCTGGGAGGGGAGAAGAGATCTGCATGTTAAAACTTTTCATATATTAAACTTCAACTTTAAAGATCACAGGCTGAAGTTTGTAGAAATGTAAACATTTCTTTTATTCCTAGGACTTAAAAAGAGTAAATACACTTGGGCTGATGGAAAAGAAAAAAAAAAAAAAAGTGGTTTGAAAGAGAAAAGGTAGCCTAAATTCAAACCCCAAAGCCCCAAATAAAAGCAGTGTAGGTCTGTTTAATTCTTTGGCCAAAGTGATTTTAAGTGCCAAAAATTATTTAGATTCAAGTCTGACAAATAAGGGATAATAGCCCATATTGCTTGTGGTAAAAAATATTCATGGAAAGGGATCTGTGAGCTGGAACACCTCTATCCTCACTCTTCTGAGCACCTTGAAACTCCCATATGAGAAATCTGATTGAATGATCATATGAGGTCTGCATGAGCAACAACCCTGAACACAGGATGATGTTAATGAAAACAAAACAACACTGAAAATAATGGATTAACCAGGCATGATTAATATATGAGTTTTCTCACGGCCGAGGAAAGTAACTCTTCTCCTTGTGGATTTGGGTCCTTAATGTTTTAAACCCCTGAACTCATTTTTCTGTACTTCCCACCAGTCAAGCCAAGAAGATCATAGGCTTTAACTTTCTGTAATTTCTATTACGAAAATTAATATGTTGAATATGCATTTTCCAGTCATATTCAACATTTCTAGTCAGCATGCTTCTATTTCCACCCTGAAATATAAGACAGAATGCTTAAATAATGGTTCTGAAAGCATGGTTCCTAGACCAGCAGCAGTAGCAGCAGCAGCAGCAGCTGGGAACTCGTTAGAAATGTACTGAACAAGAAACGCTGGGGTGGGGCCTAGCAGTCTGCTGCAACAGCCCACCAGCGGATTCCCATGCTTGTGCAAGTTTAAGGACCACTGCCTCAAAAGATCTGAATTAGTCACATCTGGGGTTTAGAAAGACGCTCTCATTTAGAACGTTTCTTCATCTAAATTTATTTAGTTATTGATTTCACAGAAAAATTCATGGAACTCTGTCAAATCCCTGATTTTTTTCCAACAATTTTTACTGTCACTGAAGTCTTGGTTATGCTAAGTAATAAGCAAACACTTCTTCCTTCACTGCCATATCTTAGTGCCTTCAAAATCCACCTGCACACTTAGACTAACAGGAAATGTCGTCTTAATCCAGTATACTAAATATTGATTATCATTTTATATTGACGTGAATAATCATAGTTTTACGAACGTCATCTACTAGTACAAGAAGGGCACATATCTGACCAGGAAAACACCACAGGGGCAAGCTCAAACATGCCACGTTGTGACCCCATGCTAACCATTCCTCTTTTGATCATGCCCTCAAAGCTAGTCTAGATAATCCCTCTATTACTTTACAGTCACAACAAAAAACTTAGCCATCCTTTGGGCTTCCCTGGTGGCACAGTGGTTCGTGCCCTGGTCCAGGAGGGTCCCACATGCCGCGGAGCGGCTGGGCCCATGAGCCGTGGCCGCTGAGCCTGCGCGTCCGGAGCCTGTGCTCCGTGGCGGGAGAGGCCACAGCAGTGAGAGGCCCACGTACCGCAAAAAAAAACAAACAAAAAAAACTTAGCTATCCTTTAAATAAAGCATAAAGATTGGTTCTAGGGAATAAAAACACGAACCAAGCCCAATATACCTGCTGATACTGAGATCCAGGTGAATGGGGGTATAATGGGGCATCTTCAGGTGGAGGCGACTCATGCTCATCTGGGGCATCTTGGTCATCTGGCTCCTGATTTTAAATATTTAAAGATAAAGAATTATGTAGCCAAATTCGAGTTTGTTTTATTTTTTTTTCTATTTGAAATAAAATCTAAAATCTAAAAAACTGACCCACTAACAACTTTTCTTTTACTACAGATAAACAAAGTAACTGAAAGGAACCTGATTTGGGTTCTCTCAGAAATACTAGATTCAGGCAATTTCACAAATATTTCTCTAAAAGAAGCCTCCCTCATTAAGACCACATATAAACAAACTTCAACATAATTTTTTTTACCATTATCATTAATACATAAACACTGGCCTATAAAGTGAAGAATTACTTTGCTTTCTTCCATTTCTATCTGCTGCACACTGGTGGCTTTTTTTACCTCCTCTGGACAGAGTTCACAAGCTTTTGCAAGTGTCATCCTAGCACTATGTGATCTCTCCAAGAAATAACCATTTGACGTTTCATTGCTTTGCACTGGAGGAGACCAATTGTTGTAAGTGTATTGAGGATTGCCAGTGTATGGTCGTCTTTCAAGTTCATCTCCAAGCCATTCCACTGCCCAGGTCCACTTTCTTTTAAGATCTCCATTGCCCTTCAAAAGAAAATAAAACTAAGTATGTAAAAGGTTTTGGAATGCTTTTCAAAGGTAACTTTAAACGACAACTCCAAATTCTCATAATTCTCTTCTTTTAAAACAGAATCCTTAATTCTGATTCAGATTTCTACAAAATTATATGTGTGTGTGTATATATATATACACATATATATATATATATATATAGAGAGAGAGAGAGAGAGAGAGCGAGAGAAAGAGAGAGAGAGAGCAAGAGCAAGCGAGCGAGAGAGAGAAAGGGAGAGAGACCCTCACCTGCAGAATCTGGTAAGCAACAGGACAATTGCTAAAGAGAGCTACCATACATTTTATACACTGGTATGCTCTTTTTTGATAGTGATTCTTAGAGCGCTGGATTGTGTCAAAGAGCCCATCTCGGTCATCTGGGATTCCTTTAAGTGCATTATGAATTCTGAAAGAGAACCAGATAAATAAAAACTTCTAAAATCAAATAGCAGCTAACATTACTGAGTGCCTACTATGTGCCATTCAATAAATGTCTTTGATGTAGTTATGTAATCTAATGCTAGACAGTAAGTCCTCTTCTTAAACCCTTAAGAAAAACAGAGAGGTTAAAAGGCTTGCAACCCAAGGTCATATGGCCGCCTAGTACCAACTTATTACCAATCCAAAATGACAAATATCATATGATTCCAGTTATACGAGGTATTTAGAGAATAGGCAAAAATCAGAGAAAGCAAGAATAATGGGTACAGAGTTTCAGTTTGGGATGATGAAAAAGTTCTGGAGATGGATAGTGGTGATGGTTAACACAATATTGTGAATGTACTTAATTCCACCAAATTGTACACTTAAAAATGGTTAAAATGGTAAATTTTGTTATGAATATCTTACAATTTTTCAAAAAATATTTAAAAATTCACCTGCCTGCAATTCTACTCTAAGCTATATATCCAAGAGAATTGAAAACAGGTGTTTAAAAAGAAATACAAAATTTGTACATGAATGTTCACAACAGTATTATTCACAGCAGCCAAAAGGTGGAAACAACCCAAATATCTACCCAAATATCTACCAACAGATGAACGAATATACAAAATGTAATGTACCCATACAATGGAATATTATTCAGCCATAAAAAGCAATGAAGTACAGATATGTACTCTAACATGGATGAATGTGAAAACATTATGCCAAGTGAAAGAAGCCAGATACAAAAGAACACATTGTATGATTCCGTTCATATGAGATGTCCAGGCAAGTCCTGGATATTTTGCCTATGCACTGACAAATTCATAGAGATAGAAAGCAGATTAGTGGTTGTCAGGGGCTGGGGGATGAGAGGACTAGGGAGTGACTGCTTAACTGGGTTTGGATTTTCCTTTTGGAGTGATGAAAATGTTCTGGAATAAGACAGTGGTAATGGTTGCACAACACTGTGAATGTACTAAAAGCCACTGAATTGTATGCTTTAAAATGGTTAAAATAGTGAATTTTATGTTAACTGAATTTTACCTCAATAAAGAAACAATACCTAAAAAACCTTTTGTATACCTTATATTTTACTTAATAGAACGTTCCAAATCAAAATTCAAGTCCGTTTTGTTTTTTTGTATTACATGCATTTATAAAATCTGTTTTGTTTGGAAATCATGACTTTGTAGTTTTGCAAAGTTTAATCATTTCAGACCACACAATCAACCATGTACAGGCTTCCTGCTATTTAATCTGAAACACTGCAGTGTATATTCTGTTTTTACCTTCAGTTTTGTCAAGTGATAATGAATCAACTGCTTTCAAATGCCGTTTTTATCAATATTACCTTTCCCTCCCTTGTTCCCCAATGCTTAACACTGCCAGGCCCACGGGAGATGCTCCATAAATACTGCTTACTAAATGACCTAAAAAGCCCACTATGAGAAAATTGTTTTCAAGCTTGTTGCCAGGGACTCATAACAACAATCTTATCATTACACAAAAGTCAAATTCCCATGTTTAATCTGGCACACATGCCTTTAGCATTATTACTTGCTCTAATGAAACGAGAACTAAGATGTGGCTAATTGGCTTAAAGTTATAAATGCTTACAATATTTTCAAAAGAAAATAATGAAAAGTTAGATTCCATTTCAACCAACTCTTAAGTTTCAGATCCTTTGATCATATTGAGAAGAGTACTGGTAGTATCAAAATAAGCAGCTATAGTTTTAGAACTACTAAATTTTGTGTTTAATGAAAATTGATTTCTGGTTTAATGCTATTTTTACAATATTAATTCAACTGTTGGAAATCTACGATGGTAATTCTGGTGAATAATTCGAAAATATTATTTCATGAATTCTGGCATTTGCAATCCCCACTAAGACTCAAGATTTTAATTTCTCTTTAAGCATTTTGTTGTTATAAAACTTGTATGTATGTATGAATGTATTTATTTATTTATTTTGTGTGTGGCTGTGCCGTGCAGCATGTGGGATCTTAGTTCCCCGATCAAGGACTGAACCCTTGTCCCCTGTAATGGAACCACTGGACTGCCAGGGAAGTCCCAGGTTTCTGTTTTAATTATTACACTGACAGACAGGAGGCAGTCTGTTATATAGATTGTCAACTGTTCCCCAACATAAACTTTACACTATTGTTGTCCATGTAGGGAGGGAAGTTATAAAATCTGGCAAAGTTGCCAACTAATTCCATAGTTCATCATCATCTGTATTGCTCTTGGGATTAAGGATAACGTATTAAGCTTTTACGTAAAAAGAGGAATTCTGAAGGAAGCTTAAGGGACAGCTAAGTTGGATAACCTTAGTCCTAAATTAATAAATATTAAAAATTTAAAAATTAAATAATGAAATAAATAAAAAATTGCTAACTCCTAAACCTCTCGTACGTATACAGAAAAACTAGTTATGGTTCATGCTCATTTATTCACAGATTCCATACCTGCAGTTTTGCCTACTTGCTAAACTTTATCTGTAATGGCAAAAATCAACTCTTTGCAATTGCAGTCACATGCAGAGTAGCAAAAACATCTGAGTTGCCCAACACACGTTCCCATCTGAAGTGGAACAAAGTGATATTCGGCCTTGTTTTAGCTCATACTGTAAACAAGTATCCTTTTTCCCATCTATTTCAGTGACAGCTTTTCACATTTTTGTGCTTTGCGTTGATCTCACTGTTTAGAAAGGGCCTCAAATGTGTAGTGCTGGGCTTCCCTGGTGGTGCAGTGGTTGAGGGTCCGCCTGCCGATGCGGGGGACGCGGGTTCGTGCCCCGGTCTGGGAGGATCCCGCATGCTGCGGAGCGGCTGGGCCCATGGGCCGTGGCCGCTGAGCCTGTGCTCCGCAGCGGGAGGGGCCGCAGCAGTGAGAGGCCCGCGTACCACAAAAAAAAAAGTGTAGTGCTGAAGTGCTGTCTAATGTTCTCTAAGCCCAATAAGGCTGTGATGTGCTTTGCAGAGAAAATATGTGTCAGATAAGCTTTGTTCAGACCCGATTTATTGTGAATTCAACGTTAATAAGTCAGCAATATATATTAAATAAGGTGTCTTTAAACAGAAACACACATTAAAAAAAGGTTATGTACTGATTGGTTGGAAAAAAAAAAGTAACCAGGGCTTCCCTGGTGGCGCAGTGGTTGAGGGTCCGCCTGCCGATGCAGGGGACGTGGGTTCGTGCCCCAGTCTGGGAGGATCCCACATGCCGTGGAGCGGCTGGGCCCGTGAGCCATGGCTGCTGAGCCTGCGCGTCCAGAGCCCGCGCACCGCAAAAAAAAAAAAAAAAAAAAAGTAACCAAAGACTGGCAAGAACCTAACCCTGTTTTTCCCCCAGGAGCAATGATTTAGTATTTGCTCATTCAGTGTTCACAGTGACTTTCAGACCATAACTACCATGAATAATGGGAACTGACGGTACTTACTTAAGGCACTATATTTAGATAACCAAATGTTATCTCATGTAATTCTAAAACTAATGTAATCTAATCCTAAAATAACCCTAGAGCATCATTAATGAAATTGAAACATTTACAAAAAAATCCCCCCAAACAAAAAACACAACAACAATTGAAAGAAAAAGGTTAGTATATTAAGTATGCAACTTGGGCAATGAGAGCAAAAGGTAAAAAATGAAATGAGGAAGGGGGGACCTTTTTATTCATTCTTGTCTTATGTTTTGTTTAAGATACATTTATTAGATATTCAAGAGGTAAAAAAAAAAAAATATGTGCCGATTGGTAATTTCAGTTACTCTAAAAGCTGGGCAAGGAACAAAAAAGGGTATCTACCTGTGAGTCTGCCAGGAGTCCTCAATCAGTAAGATTTGCAAAAGCAGATCCAAATAGGGCCGGAGTTCATAAGTATAAGAATATGCAACCTTTAAAAACAGGTAAGACATGGTGAAGAACTTATTTTAAAGCAGCAACAGTGGTGATCCTTTTGTAATGTGTAATGTATAAAAATATCATATCACTATGTTGCACACCTAAAACTAATATAATTGTAAAGTCAATTATATTAAAAAAACTATTTGAAAAAATAAAAATATAAAATAAAGGAATAACAAATCAAATTATAGAGACATATGAAGGTATATTTTCCTTTAACCTGCCAGAGAAGTTCACTGAGGACAGTAGATGAGAACTGAGGATTCTCCCAGCAGCAAAAACGAAGCAATTTGACGGTTTCCTCTGAGTTACTGCAGTCCTCAATGATTTTCTTCACATAACTTGTCCTCACAAATAAAATGTCTGCCACATTCTGCTGAATTGGCATTATAGGTTGTGATAAATTAGGATCACCAAAAGGATTGGGAAGAGGAGGATTACCTAGAATACAGATTTGTCATCAATGAAAAACTAATCGGCTTCTCTATAATAATATCAGCTTTCACCACAGAAAATAGCTTATGAATTTTTTATTTTATGAAATATTTTAAATTAAGTTTCCTGAGTACAACAAAGAAAGTAATATTAAGCATTATAATGATCACATATATCAAGATGATAAAGTATAAAATTGAAATGCCAACACTGGCGTTTTCTTTATATAAAAGTTAACTCTTAAACTACTTCATAAACAAGGTACCAACCTCAGTAGCAAGTAGACAGAAAGATTCCCTTTAAATATGAGAAAAAGGTGCAGGACTCAAAATATTATAAAATATTCCAAGCATGGACATTCAGACTCTCGTTTTATTTTTAAATATCTTTGGAATTACTTTGAATCAGGTACTATATATGGCCAGCAGTACTTTAAAACCAATGTAAAGAATGGAGTATTTGACTTTACCGTTGATTGAAGACTGCATTCTTGACGAGACATTGCAGCATCGGATTAGCTGTGACACTACTGAGTATAATTTGCCTAATTCAGCATACTGATACTTGATTGGAGGACCTGGACCTTCATCTAAAGACACAAGCATAAAGGTAGCAGGTACACTCAATTTCAGAAGCTGTGTCTTCTCTGCCACACCTACAATAAAGAAGGGAGAAGCAGGAAGAGAGGGGAAGAATTATATGAGAGGAAAGAACTGGGACGGAAGGGCTTCATAATAAAATATTTTTCTACAACTTTTATGATCAGAAGATCACTTTTACTTAGCATTCAGAGTATTATTTAATCAGAACCAAAAATCTACTGAGTTAGTATAACTGGATTTAAGTACTGAAATGGTTAAACAGTGACTATGACATTCCAATCCTACTGGGCATAAGGAAGAGAAACACCTTCTATGGCCTGGGGAGTCTCGGGAACTGCCTAGTCTGTTCCTCATCATTAGGTGAATGACGAAAACTGAGAAATAAGAATTCTTTTATGAATTGCCTTTCTTCCTCAGCCAAGCTTCTTGAAAGAAGCCTAAACTCGTTCCCTCTACTTTCTCGTCTTCCCAGTCCTCAACCCATGCCTATTTGGCTTCTGCCCCCTTTTCTGGTTTAAAGCTAAGGAATAGTTCTCAAACCATAACCATTTCCTTTCTTGGGTTCCTGTCTTATTTTCTTTCTACCTCTTCTTATTCTTATTTGTGAGTCCTCCTTCCTGTCTTCAAAAGTGATGGTCCTCAAAGTTCCCACATCAGGCTATCTTCTCACACCGTATGCCTTCCCTGGACGATCAAACCCACTCTAATGGCTTCAAGTTCCAGCTATTTTCATTCAGCTGATTCCAAAATATTTCCAGACAAATAGATCACCGCTCTACTGGACATCTCTATTTGGGTGTCACAAAGACTCAAATTCCCTGTCCACGTTCTTCCTCCTGTGTTTCCCCTCTCAGTACATGGCACTACTTCCTGCTCAGTTTGTCAAGTTGGAATTCTGGGCATCATTCTTAACATCTCTTCCGTGTTCCCCTTCCCTGAATATCCAATCACCAAATCCTACTGTCCTTATCTCCAATAAAAAGCACCAGAATCTGACTACTTGTATCCCGCTCACTGCCAGTTCCTAAGTATAAGCCACAGCGATTTTCTATCTACAAATTACTTTAACAATCTTTGGTCTTACTCCCCAATAATCCATTCCACACTGCAGCCTGGATCTTTCTAGAAGCCATGTCTATTCAAAACTCTACAATGGCTCATCAATGCCCTCAGGATAAAGTTCAGAATCTCTCACAAGGCTTGACAGAATAGCACAATTAGAAATTTCTGCTCACCACTCCTGCTATCCCCATATTACATCAATTCTAGTCAGACTGAATAACTTTCATTTCCTCCAATGAGCCATGCTGAGTTTATTCCAAGTCTCTGCACCTGCTGTTCACTCTGGATGGAAAAACTCAACCGACCAATTCCCACATCTTCTCCACTAAGTCCCCCACACTCCCCCTATGATGTACTTCCACAGCACTTTGTATTTTCCCCATTATAGCCATAAACGTATTTCATGGCAAGTACCTTTTAATTTGCTTCTATACTCCATTAGAAAGTAGGTGTCTTATTTATTGCCATGTTCCAGAAGTATAATAAATACAGGTCCATCCACAAATCCCTTATCTGAAATCCTTAGATTCAAACAGCTCTTAACATCAATATAAACAAAGTTCATTCATAAACTTGCTGTGAAAATCTGGCCTGAACTGACAAGAGGCTATGCACAGTCTTCAATCATCCCCTCTCAGTGTGAATATTCACGTGTATGATTACAAGGTGCTGTTTCAGACCCTGCTCTAGGGATGTTACGTAATTCAGGGCATATGGGCTATTTTACCTTTCTTAAAACCAAACAGTCTGAACCACAAAGCATATCTATCTGGTCCTAAGGATTTCGTATTAAAGTTTATAGACCCATATTTGCTTTTAGCAGGGAAATTTTAATTAGATTAGATTATGGACCAACGATGCATGTTTTCTGAACAGGGAATACCTAAAAAGGGAGTTGAACAGAGTGAGATTTTTATAAATACCTAAGATTTGGCATTTCTAAGTGTGAAATACAGATTCCCCTTATGCTTGTTTGCGTAAATATTCTTTTCAACTACAAATATGCAAGCATCTCCAGTATGGGAAGGTAAGGGAAAAGACGATAAACGCAAAGTAGAATGTTGCTTATGTTAAAAGGGCCATGGATCAACTGGCGATTGGTAAGTTCATGCACAAAAAACCTGGAATGACAGGGATGTTTGGGTTTAGAACTTAACATAAATAACAGGTAATTTAAATGAATATTTATATTATCCCCGATTTTAATTTAGTTTACGTCAACAAAAACTTACGTACAGACTAAGTCCTTTACCCAAACTTGGTGAGTATTACACATCCATCTGGGACCTTTTGAAAATGTGGATTCCTTGTGTTAGCTCTGAGAATTCTTATTCAGTTGGTTTGGGATGGGGCCTAGGCATCAGTATTTAAAAGAAAAAGGTCTAGCACGACTACTTTAGGAGATAAAAATATGATTAAGATACAGATTTTGACCTGTGTCTGGTGCAGAGATAAGACACATGCATAAATAATGATACAGTACAAGGTGAAAAGTGCAGTGTAAAAAAAAAAGTTTCAAATAAAATTCACAGTAGGTTTTATGGAACACTTTCTTTTTAGACCAGGTTATATTTCATCATGTGACTTACATGACTTCATTACTTAATACATTAAAAGAGAATTATGAAAACCTAAATTCTTACCTAAATTGGCATACATTACAAACAGGTTGAAATACTGCTGTAAATGGCGCCCATGCTCTGAAACTTCTCTTCTCAGTAGATTTAGTACTGCTCTTAGTAAGTGATCACTCAGGCTTAAGTTGTCATAAGCCTGTAAAGGATAAAACATTGGTTGTTTCTCAGCAACAAGGTGCAGGTACGATATAATTCTCTTTGCATGAAAAAGGGACACGCACATATACATGTTAAATATAGGCAGAAATTTCTGGAAGGACTGATCACATAAGAAATTATTAAAAAGGGTTGCTTTTTAGGAAGGGATGAAGATCCAATGTAGATTTCATTATAGAGGCTTCATACTGTTCTAAGCTTTAACAAATGGAAGTCCATTTAAATTTATATACAATTTATGTAACAGTAAGTGTATAACTAAGCCACTGAATGTAACTGAATTAACAGAAAATTCCGCTATGTTTTAAAGAGCCAATAGTCACTATTCACTGATGGGAAGTACTTTTAATGGAACTCATATAAACATTGAGTTATCGGACTATCTGGTTATTATGTGCTCATGCACGTTTGTTAGGTAAACATATCAAACAGATGCACATGTATTTGTGACTTCAACTTCCAGGAAACAGAATTTATTTCTGTTAACTGGGAAATTACCTGACTAGAAGGTCCTGGAGATGCAAAAGGTGAAGGACATGGCCCATCTTGCAAGGAAAAATGTGCAATAAAAACTATAAGTTTTGCAAATGCACCTCTCACTTCTGCACTAGGGCACTCCAGAAGGTATTCAGAGAAGCGATTTGAAACATTAAAAAGGACATTGTGAGCAAACCAAAAACGTACATTCTTGCTGTGACGAAGGAGAATACATAATGCATCATACCTAAGACAAAACCAAACAAAAATCTATAAATATCGATTCAGTAACATGTTTCCTATAGTACAGGGATGGGTCTCTAGGAACCAAACCAAAAAAAAAAAAAAAAAAATCAAAGAACTTCTTTTACTACTGGAGGGAGAGAACCAGCAATGGTAGCTTCTAGTACTAATATTAAAAAGATAAATACTATGACTTGGTCTATTCTCAGAGTGACAAAATAAATAGACGAAAACTTAGAGTCCTCTACAAATCCATGACCAAACTCTTCCTAGGTTCAATGACAAAACAATAATCCCCACTCCCTTAACATCTTACTACTAGAATAGTAAGTAAATATTGTTAAATTGAGGTATTATAATGGCCTCTAAATTTATACAATTAGAAACTTAAACTCATTTTAAGTTTCTACCTTTTTAATCTATGGCTGAATTTAATATAGGGAAGCTAAAATGTTAATACTTTTTTGATTAGATAGCTTAGACTTTTAAGTATCATCCTGTAATGTTTTGTACAGAGATGTCAAAGATATGATACAAGGTAACAGAAGCAGAAGCCAACTTCTGAATAATAAAAGGTGGTATTTAATCTCAGTAATTATTTTTTACAATTTATTTTTTATACAGGTTCTTATTAGTTATCTATTTTATACATATTAATGTATATATGTCACTCCCAATCTCCCAATTCATCCCACCACTCAGTAATTGTTTAAATATGATTTCTCTCACTATCGCTACCAAGATTTTTTAAATTCTGCATTCCAAATCTGAAATGAGATTATCATGGCTTGGAAAAAATAAAGCAGTATATTAAAGAACCAAACTAAATGCCAGTAATAATAGGAATGAAAATTCAAAGCAATGTACCAATCACTGGCAGAGCCACGGACTACTTTCTTGGTGTGAAATCCTGTGGTAAAGAGGAACCTAGCGGCAAGCTGAATACTAATCATAGTGATTTCTTCTGCTTCAGGCAACAGGTGATCTTGCCCTAAAAATAAAATGTAGATTAAAAAATAGTCAAACAAATTTCTGTGCTCAAACCCCATTTTCATTTTCAAAAACAAATCTGCATTATCAACAATTTTCCAAGTACTATGTTAAAACCCCTGGGCTACTTATGCAATAATTCTTAGTAGTTCAGTAAAGCACCCTTCAACTAATGCTTGAGTAAAAAAACCAAACTGTTGTAACAAACAAAAGTTCTTCTGTCTCTAAATGGCAAGACAATATATACCGCTCAAAGGTAACAGTCATCTGAAACATGACTTTAGAACAACCAAAAAGAAAGAAAACAAACATGTTGATGCCTGCTAAGAAACCCTGCAAGTAAAAGAAGAGGTATGCTTTATTACTAAGAAGCTAAATTCTTGATACTTACCTGGAGGAGGATTTAAGTAAACACCATTACATGTAAGCAGTTTTTTCATAAACTGAAAATATTCCATACTGTACTGCATTCGGTTATGCATGAACTGCACATTCTGTTTCCGCACACTTCTCTCAATGGCCGATGGCATAATAATCTGATGGGGCCTTGTGGTGATAGCAAGCTCTGATATATACCTTATCAACTCATCACCTTGGTCTATTGTGTCCAATCGTTCATAAAAAAGTATATAAGCATTCCACCACCTTTTCTGGCGCCTGTATGACATGCGCTTCATCATGTGATCGAATACTTCTCCCATGTACTCTCCACCAAAACACTGGTTTTTCATTTCTTCATCGTCATCCATTTTACATTCAGTTACATCTCCATCATCAAATTTATACCAGCGATTTCTCTCGCCATCTCCTCCGTTCCTTTGAATGATGTAAGAGTAGTAATGTCCCCCGCTCGCCTGACCACTGTGTACAAGCACCCCCACAAGTCTGTATTTCGTGCTTCCTGCTGGCTCACTGTCAGACTGCTCATTCTGTTGTATCAACTGACTCTCTGGGTTTACGTTATCTCCTTCTAGCTTTGCAACACCGGCAACTGTGTAAGGTTCCATGTCCAGTTCGCGAGGAAATTCAAAGTAATCATTAAACTTGATTGCACATTCTCTTTCCCAGTCATAGTCGAATCGTTTTAGTTGGATAGCGAGAACAGGAGGTAATTTTTTAATAAGCAAGCGCTTTACAGTATCAACCTAAAATGAACAGAGCAAATTACTAGATGTTCTCTTATAATCCACTGCAAAAAACCCACAAAATTTAAAACTCTACTATTAAATTCTCAGGATTAATCTGAAATTTTAAGTATAAACAAATACATGATAATGAACATAATCAGAGCATTTCTGTCAATTGATATTTTTAAAATGTCCACTAAAACTAATACGAAGTAGCTGATGCCTTTTGCTACAACTTGCAAAAATTAGTAATATAGACATTATTCGCTGTCTGATTTCTATACTGGAAGTGCTATCTAACCATTATTACTTGTTTGATATTTACTGTTATTTTAATGAAGTTTGCTGTGAGCAAACTACAGAAATATAATAATAGCAGCTAATATTTATTGGGCAATTAGGTACCAAGTTATATGATGCTAAGTGCTGTCCAAGTAGTAACATGTTTAATCCTCACAACCCTCCCAACCCTGAAACTTAAGGATGAGAATTAGTAGTAGTAAGAGATAACTTGCCAACCTCTAGATTTTAATACCTCTCTAAGTGGTATGTAACGTCAAAACAATACAGGTGACTTACAGGTGAGAGGGCTTGGGAGCCCAGAATGATACACATTATTTACCATACGTATGGGTAAATTGTCTCTCCTAAAGAACTGTTAAATGCCCACAGGCAAAAACCAATCAAGTGAGTCTAAAAATCTGATCCAAGTGGTTTAAAAAACACAGGTGGTAGAAGAAACCTTTTGTGGCTAAATAAAGTAATTAACAGTTTGGCTTCAGCAAACTTCTTGGTCTTGGCTAGCAACTCTGGACATGAGAGGACAAGTGTTTTCCTCTATGAGCTCTGTAGCTTCGAGGAGTTCAAGAGCAGGTTGGTTGAATATGGATGAAAAGTGCCTGTGTAACTCAGACAAGAGACTGATACTAAGCTACTATGACCTCTAAAGTGATTCACTCTTATCTTTACCTGTTTTCCCTAGCCCTTCTGGCACTATTTTCTCTCATTTGTCTTTACCTGACAAACCTTTCTCTCAATCATCTTTACCTGACAGAACTTTAAGTCAGTTATCTTAACTACCTCTCTGTTACCACTATAACAAAGCAGTATAGGGAATAAAGAGGGTGAATTTTGAGAACAAACAAAAACAACCATTCTTCCAAACCCATTAAATGTAATCATAATTATTTTAAACAAAACTGGGCAATTCATACCTTTTTATTGCATTTTTCACAATGATAAGCATTTGCACCTTCTAATAAATCTCCTTTGACATATTGTTCCAAAGAATCAAGAAGATTTTGGTGATTTCTAATGTCTACATTCAAAGTCGTAAAAGATTCTTCACACTCGTATCTAAAGATATTATTTAAGAAATGATCAGAGAATTTATTCCTTAGTTTCCTAAACATCTTATTTAGTTAGGGACTCAATGAAAACTACTTTTGCAATTTTTATAATGTAACACAAAACCCATAAGTCATAAAATGTTACCAATAAATGACAGTTACCATTTATGGGTCACTTATCCTCTGCTGGGCATACATTAGGGTGTTTACACACTACATATAACAGGTGCTTTGTCTTCATGACAAATATTTCTCTATCACCACCTCCACATCAGAAATGAGGGAAGTGGGGTTCAGAATGTGAATTTGGTCAAGATTACTAGGTGAAATGGTGTTTTCAAGCTAGGTCTGTCTGGTTTCACAGCTCAATCTCTTTATAGTCTACCATGCTGCTTCCGCCATCATCTGTTTAGATCTATTAATGAGCTGAATTTTTAAATGTTTCTCCTCTTCTGTAATGGAAACCTTACTAAAAGCACAAGTTTGAACACACAAATGAAAACGGTATAAGCAATCTGAATAGGAGCCACAATCCCACCTTGTGGCAATTTTCTACCAAAGGAATTTTCAGATTTCTGGTGAGACATATTAATGCATTTAGAACATGGGATGTGAGGAATTCATTCTCAACCATTAAATTCATTCACTCAACAAATACACTGAGTGCCTACCATGTTTAAAGCCCTGGGGGATAGTCAATGTTTAAGACAGTCCCTCATATTTAGGGCTTTTCAATTTAGTTAGGGGAAAAAGGTACACAAATAAAGGCATTTATAAGTGACATGAATGGAATATGAAGTATTAAGCAAACTGTTACTATAACTGGGGAACAGCCCATAGAAGAGAAAAGAGAACTTAGATTTTATGATTCCAGTTAAAAACTAGGACATTTGAAGCTGAGAAGTCAGCAAAGTTTTTCTGTAAAAGGCCAGATAGTAAATATTACAGGCTTTTTGGGGCCATGAGGTCCCTATGGCAACTACTCAACTCTGCTGTTATAGTGAAAGCGGTCAGACAGTAAGTAAAGGAGTGGGTATGTTCTAATAAAACTTTACAAAAACAGATGCAGGGCTGGATTTGACCTATGGTCCATAGTTTGTTAACCCCTGCTCTTGATAAATAAATACCCTAAAACAGACTGTCTCAGGACCCTTTATGTAACCTTCCAGCATATAACAAGACTAATTTAGTTGTGGAATAGGTATTTGAACTTTAGGGATTTTACTTAAGATCATGCTCTCTGGACATTTTCACTTGGCAAAGAAAATCACTAATTTTCAAATAATTTTGAAAACTGTCTAAAACAAACCAAGAAAAAACTGACCAAAACAGATGACCAGAAAATTTTATTTTTATCAGTAATTAAAAACAGGAGGTGAAAATGACAATTTTATTGTCCACCTAATGCACAAGGTCTTTCAAAAGGATCAAAAGTTGCCCAGTCTCAAGATGGGAATGAAGACACAGACCTACTAGAGAATGGACTTGAGGACACGGGGAGCGGGAAGGGTAAGCTGGGACGACGCGAGAGTGGCATGGACATATATACACTACCAAACGTAAAATAGCTAGCTAGTGGGAAGCAGCCGCATAGCACAGGGAGATCAGCTCGGTGCTTTGTGACCACCTAGGGGGGTGGGACAGGGAGGGTGGGAGGGAGATGCAAGAGGGAGGGGATATGGGGATATATGTATACGTATAGCTGATTTACTTTGTTACACAGAAGAAACTAACACACCATTGTAAAGCAATTATACTCCAATAAAGACATTAAAAAAAAAAAGTTGCCCAGTCTATGCAAACAATTTTATGGCCTTATCCAGAATGAGTAGTTTAGCACTTACATATAGTATTAGCACTCCCTCAATCATTTTCCCTGTGTTCAAAAATAAAGCACATACACACACAACCTATGACTGTATATAATGCTGTTTAGACTTGCAGAAAATACTATCCTACTGTGATTGTCTGGTGAGAAGGGATTTCAAACCAACATTAATTGACAACATACAAGAGAAGTTCCAAAGTAAAACTTCCATACAATAGGCATAAACGTGTATCTATCAGTAATGAACTTTAATAGTTATTTAACTATTTTCAGTAAGAGCCCTTAATCAACTTCCCCTTTAAGAAAACCAAAAACCAAAAACCAAAATAAACCAAAACCCAATTTGTTTAGTCAACTTTTGCTATAAAGATTTTGTGTGGGAAACATACCTTAAAGACAATGACAGTAATCAATGCTATTTTCAAAAAGTCAGTATTTCATTTGTATAGGAAATAGTGCTCCATGCCTGTTATCTTCTAAACTTAACATATTTACAATATTATAACTATTTTAATTCTAAGATAAAGGGCAAATTCATAAGTAATACCTGTAGCTATGCAAAATGCCATTTTATTTTCTTAGGCATGATCATACGTAAGAACATGTAAGAGTATGAAATAGTAAGAGCTTAGGTGGAGTTAAAGGAACCAAATATTATTTGACAAAAACAATCAGACCCATAAAGTTCATGAGACTTTTCTGTACTGTTAAACTTCATTGTAATAAAATCAGAAAACAAACAAAACCCCCCACAGTAGTAAGGTATGCGCAATATGTAATTCATCCAGCCTCAAGTATTTAGTAATCGGTAGCGTACTTCACTTTTGTACATAACTAATAGTAAAAATAAACAGTACAACATATACTTTAAGTATGAAATTAGCACTTACCTATGTGGGCAGCCTTGGCAAATCTTCTGATCAGCAAAGGAACCTCCTAAAACTTTACTTAGCATAGCTGGGTGTCCTAAGGCTTTCAAAGCTTCATCTAAACTATCCACCAATGAATTAAAAAATTCTAAAGCATCATGTTGTTCACGAAGATTAACAGGCTCACCCCAAAGCCTAAGAAATGAATGGAGTAAAATATGTAATGTGCGACACTCCCAAAACAATATATACAATATATTTTTCAGGAAAAAAGCAATACAACCACAAATGACACCACAAAAACTGAGATTTTATTCCTCAACTACAGGAAGTAGAAAAAAACAAATGCCGTTTATGTATCGATTGCTGTGGGGAAGCAAGTGAGATTCATAGTAAAAGTGGTACTTCAGTGGGGAAGAAATACCATGAAACTACTGGTGTGGCTGGATGGATAGTATAGCTCCAGGAAGGATGGTTTCTGTAGGTAATATAGTATAAGCATGCATTTTGAATCCAACTGAAGACGCTGTTAAAATTGGGTGGCTGATCTCACTCTTAAGCAGATAATTACTACTTCATTTCTTTCATTTTGCTTAAATTTTGGGTTACAGATACAGTGCAAAGATAATATTTACTCTTAATTAAATTGACTTTTCTGATGGAAAAGAGAAAAGGTTTGACTTGTTTTACAGTTCATCTCTTTTGAATAATCGGAGGATTTAAATTAGGTAAATCAATCCTGAGAAAAGAAAATATCAATTATGTGAATGACAAAATGAGAAGTGATACTAATAAAACCTAGGCACTGCTGGAAACTATGACATCTAATTTTGTATTTATAGAGTAATATACATTGAGAATATAAGTGAATTCATTCAAGCAACAGATATGACAAATTTATTTTAAGTATGCAAGAGGAACTGTCTTTTAATAAATTCCTTTGTAACACTTTTACTATGTAGCAAATAATCTCACCCTAATTATTTCAGCTGTTAAATTTGCATATAGTGAGTTAGAAATCAAATATATCACTTGTTAAAAGCTATTTTACGGGCTTCCCTGGTGGCGCGGTGCTTGGGGGTCCGCCTGCCGATGCGGGAGACGCGGGTTCGTGCCCCGTTTCGGGGGGATCCCGCATGCCGCGGAGCGGCTGGGCCCGTGGGCCATGGCCACTGGGCCTGCGCGTCCGGAGCCTGTGCTCCGCAAATGGGAGAGGCCACAACAGTGAGAGGCCCGCATAACGCAAGAAAAAAAAAAAAAAAAAAAAAAAAATCTATTTTACAATGGAGAGATTTGTTAAGACACCAAGGGATCAAAGCTAATATCACCAATAATCAGATAAACTGATACCATGTGCCTCTGAATGCAATGAGAAGCATATAATAACATCACCTATGTAGTTTTCTTGCCAAAAAGTTTAACCTGAATCTAATCATGGGGAAATAATCATACAAATCAAGGAAGTACCATAAAGGTCATGACAAGTTAGGGAGATTATTTTAGAGAAGACTAAAGAGGTAACAACCAAATTCTTGTGATTCCTTCTAGGATACCAGTCTGGAATTGGAAAAAAAAAAAGTTAGAAAGAATATTTTGGGGAAATGGAAATACATAATGCTGAATATCAGGCATTACTAAATATTAAATTTCATGCATGTGATAACTGTATTAAACATTACATAGGAAAATGTCCTTATTCTTAGAGGATACATGTTGAAGCATGTAGGGGAGTTAAAGTGTCATATTTGCAACTATCAACTCGTTTAGAAAAAACAAACAAAACCCAAAACCCAAGTATACATATAAGCAAATATGGCAAAATGTTAACAACTGGTAAATCTGGGTAAAGAGTATATATCATAAAGGTGATTATTATACTACTTTACCTTTTCTGTTGGTTTGAAATTCTTCAATATAAAAAATCGGGGGTGGGAAATGTGGTTAACTAACCCACATGTATATCTAGAGTATATTATGTATAGAGTATATTATGTGTCTAAAGTGTGGATAATCCAAAAGTGCTAGTCTAGACAAACTGCGAGCTCCACTAGCATAGGGAGTAATTAGTTGAGAAGTCAAAAATGCAAGTGCATTATAATTTAAGCAATAACTATAACTGAATGACAAATTTTAAGACAAAAGCTCAAAAAGCTTGAGAGTAATCTGGAAGAGGAAGACCAGAAATGATAAAAAGCCTTACGGCAGAGGCGAGACAAGCTAGAGAAAGAAATGAGAACGGGAATAGTCAGAGAGGAAAATGAGAGGTGTTGAGAGGTGATGGGACCAAAAGAGCAAAAGCAGAGCTGGGAAGGAGGGTGGTGCATGCAAGCCAATAAGTATGGATTAAGTAGGGGGCCTAGTTAGAGGAATTTATACGGTGAGTCAATGTATTATAAAGCAGTGGTTTCAAAAGAAATCTAAGTAGTATCCTTGTAGGCAAAAGGGGAGCTGCTCTGATTGAAGCAGGGAAGGTGGACAAGAGTGGCAGTGTCAGGTGACCCTTTGCTTTCCCTGCTCTCAGCTGTCTGGGAGATACCCTGAAGGGATTCTAAGGAGTATTATTTAAGGGAATTCCCTGGTGGTCCAGTGGTTAGGACTCCGTGCTTTCACTGCAAAGGGCTCAGGTTCAATCCCTGGTTGGGGAACTAAGATCCCACAAGCGTGCAGTGCGGCCAAAAAACAGGAAAAAAAAAAAAAAAAAAGAAGTATTATTTAAAAAACCCAATGCTATGAAGGATTATAGCATTCTCATACACAGTACAGATATGTGGTTGTACTACAGTATTTTAGCACAGTGCACGACATGATAGGCGATGATAAAAAAAAAAAGGAAAGAAATGAAGCCAGAGAAACAAGATCAAGACATAATCGAAGATTTTTTAAAAATTAACAACAACAAAACCCAACGTATTTATCACACCTTTCCTATAAAATTGTACATTAGAATAGCCAAAGAGTTGCTATGGGGAAGTTTTCCTTTATAGATCTCCTCTAGCTAAAAAATGAAAGAATGATAAAATTAGAATGTTGCCATTTTGTAATCCTCGTGAAATGCTGCATTTAGGCAATGATGATCAATGGCTTAGTTATAAGACAGAGACAGACAGACATTATGTACTTCTCACTGAGGTCATCGTTATCACCTATGAAGCAAGCCTTGTCTATCTGCTCCAAAAAAGAAAAATCACACCTGAATTTGATCAAGCCTCTAGATCTCACTACCTATTTATATGACATACAGGGGACTGAGGAAAACAGAAACCACCACAAGGATCCCATCAATAAAATCCAGATGGGAAAATTTAGAGCTAACTACCTTTTTTTCCCTCCCCAACAAATAACTACAAGGGTGAAAAAAGATTAGAAGAGACTAAAGAGTCATGTCAACATCTGCAGCATATGGACTTCACTTGGATCATGATTTCAAAAAATTTATAGTTAAAAAGTTATGAGGTAATTGGGTAAAATCAGACATTGACAAGGATATTAAGGAATTTTTATAAGACATGGTAACAGTATCATGGTCATGTTAAAAAAAAGACGTTAGAGATACACACTGACACATTTATGGATGAAATTATGTATTTGCTTCAAAACAATCTAAAAAGTAGACGGCAGTGTAGATTAAATAAGATTGGCCATGAGTTGACAACTGTTGAAGTTGAGTGATGAATACATAAGAGTTCATACTCTTCTCCCTACTTATGTAAATATTAGAAGCTTTCAAAATAAAAAATTATTACCATCTGAAGAAATTAAAAGAATGCTGCCTCTTACTATGACACTTTCTACCTCCTTTGGGGACAATGAGAAAACAAACCTAACTACGAAGTAAAGTTTGATTATTACTACTGCTTAAATACTAAACATAAAAGTGCCTTCCAGTATAGGTTTTAGAAGTTTAATGTTAGTGTCATGAGATAGTCATAAAGGTTTAAGCAGTATCCCAATTACTATTCATCCATAGTTTACCTGAACTGTTTCCAAAATCCTCTGGGCACATAGTACTGTAGTCGAGAAGCAGCTAAATGACCAAAGATGACTTGAAGGTGTCTTAGAACACCAATATTGTACTCTTTCCTATCTTCTGTTTTACTTAATGCTGGTTTCTCTTCAAACTGTTGAGGGTATCCAAATACATCATCTCTGGGATCAACATTGCTCTAGAAACCAAAAGTTATCATTAATGAGCTAACCTAACTTCAAAGTATAGTAAAAATATGTTGAGACAAATGCTAAACGATTAGTGAACAAATCACCTGTACTTCTATTTATTTCCAAAGCACTTAACTTTCAATTTATAAACTTTAGTTTACAATATCAGTGTTTATATCCCCACCCCTTTCACATAAGAGTTGCATAAAGGAATAACCCTCACTAAGTATCGTAGAGGTAGGTAATATAGCAAAATACAGTAGAGTGATTAACTTAGACTGAACTGGATACAAAGGCTTTGCTACTTATAAGGCTAAGTAACTTTGAGCAATTAAGTGCCTCATGTGTAAATGGTTTAACATATTCTTCATGCAGCTGTGAGAATTATATGAGACAATGTATATAGAGTGCTCAAACTTGTAAACATTCAATACAATATACATATTAAGATTAGCTGGAAAAACTAGATATCCATATGCAAAGGAATAAGGTTGGACTTTTCCCTAACACTATACACAAAAATTTACTCAATACAGATCAAAGATTTGAATGTAAGAGGTAAAACTATGAAACTCCTAACACACAGAGCAAAAACTTCACGACACTGGATTTGACAATGATTTATCGGATGTGACACCAAATGCACAGGCAACAAAAGAGCAGAGACATACTGGACCTCATGAAAATGAAAAAGTTCTGTGCAAAGAAATTGGAACCCTTGCACACTGTTGGTGGGAAATGTAAAATGGTGCAGCCACTGTAGAAAACAGTTCCTAAAAACAATTAAAACTATAAAATGATCCAGCAATTCCACTTCTGGGTAAAACACCCAAAAGAACTGCAAGAAAGGTCCTGAAGAGATATTTGTATACCCATGTTCAGAGCAGCATTATTCACAATTTTGAATTCCACCAAAAGGTGGAATCAGGGACTTCCCTGGCGGTCCAATGGTTAAGACTCCGAGCTCCCAATGCAGGGGAAGCGGGTTCGATCTCTGGTCGGGAACTAAGATCCCGCAGGCCACGCCATGTGCACCACCCCCCACAAAAAGGTGGAAGCAACCCAAATGTCCACTGATGAATGGATAAACAAAATGTGGTATATACATTCAAAGGAATGTTATTCAGCCTTTAAAAGAAAGGAAATTCTGACACATGCTATGAAATGGTCGTTACATTAAGTCAAACAAGCCAGTCACAAAAAAACAAATACGGTATGATTCCACTTATGTGAGATACCTAGAATAGTCAAATTTGGATGTAATAATAGACAATGTCCAGTCCCTGCCCACGAGAAACTTAGTCTAGGGAAGGAAAAAAGCACACAGGCAAAAAACCAAAACCAAAACCAAAACACCCCACAGTGCAATGGGGTGCCGAGACAACACAGAGCAGAGGGTACCATGAGAGCAAAGTTGAGATACCTTATTTGAACTGTATCATACTTTGTCTGCTGGTACAATTAGCTATCTCTACTGTGCTTAACTCAACAACCTAGCGATGTGATGAATCACAGAACTAGAATCTGAACTCCAATTTTCACCCAGAGCAGTGGTTCTTAACCAGGTATATGGTGTGAGCAATGCCTATGAAACTTCTTAAAAAAGTAAAAATGCTCAGACCCCAATCCCTGGATGATGCGGTTCAGCAGACCTAGGGAAGAGTTGGGGTCTAGTGTATGTTTCAGAAGCCCTCCCTGTAAGTGATAAACTACCTCAGAGCAAATAGTTCAGTGACTGAAGAGAGGGAATGAGAAAAGAACCATTTAAGATATTTACTACAATCAGAGCATGCTCTGGCTTCTCTCTTCAGCTCTCACCAACACAACACCATGAGTAGGAAAAGGTCAAATAAAAACAAAGAAATACAGGGTGGACACAAACATGACCAGAGCTTAAGTCTGGCCATAGTCTCTTCTTTAAAGAACCATGCCATAGTTATGCCAACTCTGATCCACCACTACAACCTAATTTTTTCACAGCTTTATTCTGCATCGGATACTTGGTAGGAGCCTAAATTTTGTCACAAGTAGAAGTTTGTTTCCTAAGCAAAAATAGTTATGATCTGGGAGAAATGCAAAAGTAATCTAAAAGTAAGCACAGACAATGAAACTGGCATAGCACATATCTTGGCATAAATAAATGGAGATACATAATTAAAATATCAAACAGAAAAGTAAAAATATAATTTAGACTATTACTAAAAATGAAGATTCTTATCATTATACAAACTCTGAATTATACCAAACCCCCAAAAGTGAGTACATTAACTGTTGTGTTAAAACGTATAAGCTATCATGAAAATTAACTGTAGTTGCAAGTCTGGTAGGTAGTGAGCACTATGTCGAGGTAGCAGTCTGCGCCAGGAGATTCTAGCTTTATTTTCAAATATTTGCCAACAGGTCCAGTCAAAGTCTAACGCTTTCTAAGAGAGAACAACAGTATCTCGTATCAGAACTTCAAACACAGAAAACAAAAATGCTAAATAAAATTTACCTCGTTGTCCTGCTTCTCATCCCCAGACATATCATCATCTACATCGCTACCTGTGCCTTCAATTGCAAGAATACCATTCCTAATGGACGGAATCATGTAGAGTTGCTGAATCACAGAATTCATATAACAAGTAGCCCCAGCGTTTTTCAGCCCCACAAATCCTTTTGGTGGGCGGGGTCCAACAGGTGGCAGATATTCCCACTCAGTAAGTGCTTCACAAGCTGAGAGAAGACAGAAGGTTCTTGTAGCACGAATAAAAACATTTTGTCCACTTTAGACTTTATTAAGCTGATAAATTAACATTACCAACAATTCCACTACTCCTATAGCTACCTGAAATAGTGCTCTAGGTATGCATTTCACCCTCAACAAATTGAAGATACACAGCAACACATACCACTATATAGATTCTTACCCCACCATCTATGAACCCATGCTTTATCTGATGTTGCTTCTATGGCAGTCTCACAAGATGATACAAGGCTAATTTCTACATGTTAACTTTACTTTTAACTTTATTATAATTTAGTCATTATGAACTTTAACTTTTTCTACTTTTATATGTTTTTTCAAGTGCCTTCAAACTCCTTCTGGCATGAAATGTTATACAAATATATCAACATATGATAGCTTACTAAGTTTTAAATAATCCTAAGATATCACCTGGGTTCACATCCAGGTTCTGATGCTTACCAACTCTTTCATCTTCAGGCAAGCCTCTGTTTCCTTCTTAATAAATGTAGTAATAAGAGTAACACGTGCTTTGCCTATAATCACCATGTTATTTTGAGGAGCAAACGAGATAGTGGATTTGAGTTCTGTGAGAACTGTAAATCACTGCCTATCTCCCTCTACCTAGTATAAACCTGGAAACAATGTAAATAACATCATTTATAAGACCAATTAAATAAATTGTGTAGTATATTGAACTGAAAGGCAGAAAGGTATATAGCTAATAAACGGATTTCGATAAATATTTATGTGTTGATAGGAAATGATCACAGATACATTAAGGGGAAAACAAAGTGAAGAACACTGCACTCCACACCAGTCTGTGGTTAAAAAACTAAAACAAAAAAAGATTTTGTATGTGGATTTTGCATACTCAGAGATTCTGGGAGGATAGACATGAACTGAAGATAATGATTACAGCTATTGAAGGGGACCAGGGGAATGGAATGGGCAGGAAAAATGTTTTAGAATACATCCTTCTCTGGTAGTTGAAATTTTTACCACACAAATGTACTACTTAAAAACAAGTGGGGGCTTCCCTGGTGGCGCAGTGGTTGAGAGTACGCCTGCCGACGCAGGGGACGCGGGTTTGTGCCCCGGTCCGGGAGGATCCTACATGCCGCGGAGCGGCTGGGCCCGTGAGCCGTGGCCGCTGAGCCTGTGCACCGCAACGGGAGAGGCCACAACAGTGAGAGGCCCGTGTACCAAAAAACAAAAACAAAAAAAAAAAAAGAAAAACAAAAAACAAAAAACAAGCGGCCTTTCTCTTTCTGCCGTCTTGGAGCCTGTGGAGGAGTGCTGGGAACAGGACTTCTAAAACAGCAAATAGGTCTGGAAGGCTGTGGTCCAAGGCTCTATTTCTGCTGGCTATAAGCAGGGTCCTGTGAAACCAGAGGGTTCCTCTTCTTAAAACTGAAGGTGTTTATGCCCAAGATGAAACTGAATTCTACTTGGGCAAGAGATATGCTCATGTGTACAAAGCAAAGAACAACAGTGACTCCTGGTGGCAAACTGAACAAAACCAGAAGAATCTGGGGAAAGGTAACTTGTGCTCATGGAAACAGTGGCTTGGTTCGTGTGAAATTCCAAAGCAACCTTCCTGCTAAGGCCAATGGCCACAGAATCTGTGTGCTGCTGTACCCCTTGAGAGTTTAAACTTATGAACATTAAATAAATAAAACTGTGGATTTGTTTAAAAACAAAAAAACAAAACCCCCCACCCTATTATATACAAATTTGATAGAATAACTGTCTAACGTTTTAAGAACTTTAATCAGAATCTGCTAAAATGTTATTAAAAAGTCCTTATATTCTAAAATATAACATATCAAAAAATATTTTGACATGTTCTTAAAAATTTACTATAATCAATTATATTCTTAAGCTTTGTAGATAAATGGTTTTCTCCTAAAACAGAAGAGCCTCCACTGTGGTCTGCTTTCTTATTTCTGCTGACTCAGTCATTTTATATTGCCCTCATCCCTTTTGAGCTTCAGTTCTACATCAGTAAGATCTACAGTACAGTCTGTTTCATGGGCTTCATGTGAGCATTAGCTGAGGACCAAGGGCACTAAAATGTTATCTTCTCACATTCTTATCTTTAAAACCAGATTTTCTTAGAACTCATATGAAAATAACATTAAAGAGCTTCTAAAGTGAGGGCCTGAAAGGTTTTCCAACGCATGTAATTTGAATTTTTAAGTTTGAACTCTGAAATTTATTTTGACTGTTTATTATTCTGGAGTTTGGATTTTAGTCCAGATTTGACTGAAATGAAATTTATTTTGTTGCTCAATACTTGTACCACTTACAGGAAGACATTTAACAAACATCTGAAAACTTTTCTACATTAAGACTCATTGCTTGTAATGGTCTTAAACGTTATACTAGTTGCTGAAAGGAAAACATGAGTTGAAGATGTTTACTGAAAGGAAAACAGGGCTTCCCTGGTGGCGCAGTGGTTGAGAGTCCTCCTGCCGATGCAGGGGACACCGGTTCGTGCCCTGGTCCGGGAAGATCCCACGTGCCGCGGAGCGGCTGGGCCCGTGAGCCATGGCCGCTGAGCCTGTGCTCCGCAACGAGAGAGGCCACAACAGTGAGAGGCCCGCCTACGCCAAAAAAAAAAAAAAAAAAAAAAAAAAAAGGAAAACAATTTGACCACATTAGAGAACTGTCATCAGAACTTTGTATTTTAAAATACTTACTAGTTATTGCTGTGCCAATGTAGTACATTTCAGTCAAAGAATCTACTATCTGTTTGAGGTTCCTCACACAGCCAACAGCTAATGCTACAAGTAACTCAAAGCCTGCATTAATGGTAGCTGGTGAACTACAGACTGGAATAGCCTGTTCAGCTGGCAGTTCTCCATTTCTCATATACCGTAGGTAAACATTGGATGCAGGGAAGATGAAATCATCAATTAATTCCTACAAAGGTGAAGAATGGATTATGTATTAGCAATGATACATATTTATATAAAAATACATGTAAAGTTTTATATGCGTATGTGTGTGTGTTTCTTTTTAAAGAAAGAAATGTCTCTTGGAAGGAAATAATGTTAAATTGTCAGAATTTCATTACATTTCAGAAAACTCAGATTTTCTAATAAAAAGATCCCACTTCAAAACACTATTTACTACAATTAACAAACAAACCCAATTTCTCAGGTTAAAAACTCATCAAGAATGAGTTGACTGTAGCACTTAACAAAAATTCACATTAAGTAAATTTACTTTTAATCACATGTATACCAAAGCTCATCTTGAATAAAAATGAAATGTCCTAAAATGATACTTTTTGTTTCCTTGAGTTACGACGTTATGTAAAAAAAACTCATCAAAGAAACATGGTAAATATGCACAGTCTTACATAATAGAGGTCTCATTCTGAATAGTCTGATGAAGTAAAAAGTTCAGATTTTCTAAACAGAAAAATTAAATAGTGCTTACTTATTTCACACAGTACTGAAATTTTATTCATGTACAAAATTTAGAAACGATATTTTAAAAGTTACTGTTACCTCTATATTCTTTAAAAGCAGAAAAGAGAAAGGATCAAGAAAACACACCAAAGACATGATACCATAAATTAATCAGACAGATTTGCTAATAAACATGTAGACTGTTAATGATACATAGCTTAGGACCAAGCCGACAGAACTTACCTTAATGAGATTAGCACCTCCTTTTTCACAACCAATATGATATTTTTTCTCAGGGGTTTGAAAGGCCAGTAACTCTTTTGTTACTCCAAGGTGGCCTTCCAAGATTGTCTCTTCAACACCCGTTTCACCTGTTCTTTTAACGTCATCCTGCCAAAGAAAAATATCAAATGCCTAACTTACGAAAGGGCTGTGAGATGTCAGAACAAGAGTGGGCTAGACAGAGGCAATTCCTTCAAACCTTTCCATTCTAAGAGATTTTTTCTCTTCAGAACTTTCTAGAAGTAGGCTTTACAAACTAGTAGAAGAAATGCTAAAAGAAGGCTAAAAGATACCAATCTCTTCAGAAATAAATTCTCATACAACTCTAAGTAAAAAGTATCAGGTGTTAAGATCAAAAGTTAAATTAAGTGCTAGTCTATCAGACTCATTTTTTGATGAAAACAATTCAAGAATACTTTTTAAAAGATGAAATTTTGCAAAATGGGCCCATTTTAAAATGGAAGAAGCTGAATATCAGTGTCTCAAGTCCTAAAGCAAGGCATCTGACAAAACTACTTACGCATTCATTCTGTGAATCATGAGTTAGTAATATCCACCAACACAGAGTATATTCTTTGGTCCTTTTTATTACTCTTTGATGTTTTTCATTCAACCAAAATGCTCAAAACTATAGACTATTAATAAAATATCTTATTTATTGATGATAAACACAGTATTAAGTGCAACTTACCCTAATTCTTTTAAGCCAATCAATTTCATTATTGAGAAGAACTTCAGCATTGGGTATATTAATATTACTATTGTAAGCATAATTAAGAAGGTGCCTTAGAAGAGTAAAGTAGTCGCCTGAATGTTTAGCTCTCTCTCTGGCTGTGCTCTGCAACAATAAAGTAGAATAATAATGAATTTACATGTCCATGCTCAGAATCCACTTTTTAAAAACCCAGAATTAACTAGAGTAAATGACTAACATAGGATGGGAAATTACTAATGTTTTTAAAATAAATATAGACTGCACCAACTTTAATACAAGCTAAAACCATGAATTCTTGACTGTTCCATGTACAAGAATTAATCACAATGATAAGTATATTAAAAAATGTCTCACCCCCAAAACAGTGAAGAGCAGAGTAATGAAGAAGAGTAAAGGCCTGTGTCCCATGCAACATCTGGTGCACATTAAAAAGAACTGCTCCTGTGCCACCTGGCGAACAGTTCTGAAATAAAAATGTTTCACATTTAATATATTATCTTCATGAAGAAAAAGAAAAAAAAAAAAAGATTCCAACGCTGTCTCTCGGGGTGGGGGTGGGGTGTTAAGGGGTAAGTAAATTAAAAGTAAAAATACAAGAATATGTAACACCCCTTTAAGCAGCAACGTTTAACAGATGAACTTAGGCTGTGTGTCAAGAACTAAAACCTCAAATTGTCACTGAAGAGTTCAAGGGATACCTTCTAACACCCCTTTCTTGGAACAGGCTGGAAATGTTCCTCTAGGTACAAGAGTTGTACAGTAAACCTTAAGCATCTTTTGGGCATTCCATAGAATTATTCCATTGTGCTCTGGAGCGAACAACTCTGTAGAAATTCTGTTACAATTACACAATAAGGATGTTGCTGCAGATGTCCCTGATATTATACTAGTGATTCCCAAAGCATGTTATCCAGATCAGCAGCATCTGAGAACTTGTTAAAAATGCAATTTCTCAGGCCCCAGCAACCTGCATTTTAATAAACCCTTCAGGTGATTCTAACGTGTGCTAAAGATTGAGAACCACCGTATTATACAATATTCTATGATTACCCATGGGAAAAACTTGTCTCTGGTCACAGTACTGGGAATTTTACCTGAGCATCATGGGTCTCTTAAAAAATATGTATACTATACAGATCTCACCAGAATAAATGCTCCAAGAGGGCAAAGACATCATCTATTTAGTTTACTACTGTGCCTCCAGAATGAAAAATGTCGTCTGGCATATAACAGGTGCTAAGAACCAGTTACCAGATGTATAAATACTGTTTATTTACAAGATGGAGGTCTGTCTCCATTAGAAAGTAAGCTCTTTCAGGGCAGGGCTTTGCTTTGTTGAAGTATGAGTTCCTGGAACCTAGAACTACACCTGACATATGGAAGATGCTCAAAAAGTATCTGCTAACGAAGCATTTGTCTATTGTACAAACTACATTCGGTGAATAACTGTTTCTGGCAATGTGCTAGCTGATAGCTTAGAAACAAATTTTTAGTTCAATGTAAGAACTTGACAGTATACATTCTGTGTACTAACCTCCCTCCTGGATATGTTTTAGGTTTCTGAAACCTGTACATGGTCCTATAAACCACAGGGACCTTTAGAAGCTTTGTGGGTTAAGTTTGGTGGAATTCAAATAAACTGACATCAGGAGTACTTGGTTTTGTTGGGGAGAAGGTCCATAACTTTTACCAGATTTTCAGAGGTATATGTCATTCATACTGCCCTAGTTTATTTTTTAAAAAGTAAGGTATGCGGCCCAAACAGAGTGAGGGTCTATAAAGAGTTGATGCTTGTCAGTTCCTGATGAACCCTCCCTCACACATGCAGACTTCGGTAATGCTTCAAAAGAAACACATCTACTAAAAAATCCTGTTGCCTGTATCTTCACAACATACTCAAAATCTGATCATTTCTCACCACTTCTACTATTGCCATACTTCCAGACTCTCTCATCTTTTATTTGGATTAATGAAGTAGCCTAAGTGCCTTTCCTGCAAAGCAACCAGAATAAACTTAAAATGTTAACTCAGAGCATATCATTCTTCTGCTCAAAACCCTCCAATGGGGGACTTTCCTGGTGGTCGAGTAGTTAAGACTCCGTGCTCCCAATGCAGGGGACACAGGTTTGATACCTGGTCAAGGAACTAAGATCCCGCATGCCACAGCAAAAAAAACAAACAAAAAAAACACCCCCCAATGGATTCCCATCTCACTTAGGGTAAAAGTTAATGTCTTTACAATGATCTATAAAATCCTTACAGGCTGCTTACTGCCTCTCTGGCCTCACCTCCTATAACTCCCCCACCTCTGCTGTTCTAGCCACACTCGGCTCCATGTTGTTCTTTACATGCCAGGCATGTTCCTGCCTTGGGACATTTGCATCTGTTGTTTCTTCTGCTTAAAACACACTTCCCCCGTGGCGGCGGGGGGGATAAAGTTGGAATTTGGGATTAACAGACTACTACATATAAAATAGACGAACAACAAGGACCTACTATATAATACAGGAAATACAGTATTTTGTAATAATCTATGATTGAAAAGAATCTGAAAAAAATGTATAACTGAATCACTGTGCTGTACACCTGAAACATTGTAAAGCAGCTATATATACCTCAATTAAAAAAAAAATTTAAAAATATATATATATTTGGTCATTCAGATAACCAAAATGTATTTCTCATATAAAAAATAAAATAAAATTTAAAATGAAATATGATGGAGGCGTTAGCTAACCTTAGGCTATGGTGGTAATCATACTGCAAGATATGACTATCAAATCAACACTTTGTACACCTTAAAGTTACACAGTTATATGCTGATTATATCTCAATAAAGCTGAACAAAATAAAAAATACAATTTAAAATGAAAAACAAAACAAAAAACCCCCACCCAAAAACCCAACACACTTCCCCCATTAACTGCATGGATCACTACCTCATTCTTTCAGAGCTGTTTAAAAGGTCACCCTTCTCTGGGAAGTCTTCTCTGACTACCCTACATAAAACTGAACTCCAATGACCCTGCCTCCCCACTCATCCCCATTCCTGATTTATTTCTCTCGATAGCATTTATTAATATAACATACTATATATTTTCCCATATGTCTTCTCTTCCCACTGCCCACCCCCTTTAGTACAGGCTCCAAGAAGGCTGACATTTTGTCTGTTTTGTTTACTGCTATATTCCCAGTAGCTAGAACACTGCCTGGTGCATAATGGGTACTTGATAAATTATTCATCAGTGAAACTGCCTCCAATATTAAAATCTAACACTACTTGGATCTGAGCATCAAAGGCCTTCTGTAAACTGACGCCTACTAATCTCCTTTTCTGCATTATCCCTTTCTCTTCTTCTACCAGAATACCCAGCTGTGCCTTGAAAGCACTATGCCAGGAGTGGCAAACTCAAATGCTTCCATGGATCATCAAGGTAACATAAAGGAGTTAAACAGGCAGAGTATAAAGCAACAGGTGCTGGAGGAGGCTTAAAAAAAAAAAAAAAAAATCCACTTAAAGGAATTCAAATCCAATTACGGGCAATTACAACAAAATACCAGTGTTGTTATGTGGAAGCAGACCTCTTCTAATAGGAACAGAGGTCTGGGAGACCTCTAGGGATAAGGAAAACTTACTGGAAAATGTGGCCCTGAAGTTGAAATTTTCGAGTGCGTAGAAGCAAGAGCCAAATTGTGGAGTGCTTATAAACCAAATTTAAATGTTTACACTTAATTCAAAGACAATGGGAAGACATGGAAAGATTTTAAGCAGGAAAACAACACGATCATATTTTGCAAGATATACTCTGCAAGTATCGAAGCCCGGTACTCTGATATTTATAATATGATGATTTAAAACTGCAGGGCAGGGCTTCCCTGGTGGTGCAGTGGTTAAGAATCCGCCTACCAATGCAGGGGACATGGGTTCGAGCTCTGGTCCGGGAAGATCCCGGGTTCGAGCCCTGGTCCGGGAAGGTCCCACAGGCTGCGGAGCAACTAAGCCCATGCGCCCCAACTACTGAGCCTGCGCTCTAGAGCCCACGAGCCACAACTACTGAAGCCCGCGTGCCTAGAGCCCGTGCTCCACAACAAGAGAAGCCACCGCGATGAGAAGCCTGCTCATGCAACGAAGAACCAAAGCAGCCAAAAATAAATAAAAATAAATACACACATACATAACTAAAACTGCAGGGCAGGGTGAGAGTCAGTACTAGGGAAGAAAGTCAGATACCTAAAGCTCAAAAAAGATCTTAACCTTGGAAGACCCCCGTTGTTGTCAAAGACAAGATAACAGAGGCATGAGAAGAAGTGCTGTGTATGGTACTTTTTACTTCATTGTGCACAAGTTTCAGGGAGAAGAGGAGTCAAATGGTTCTAACTTCCTATAATGGGGATTTTCGTAAAAGTAGAGGGCAGAAAACTTATTAAACGAAATTCCTTGATATTTAGTAGCAAAGAAAGTGACATAAGTTCCTAATTTAGTTTAAAATTTTAAAAAATCAGCAGATTTCTGAAATCTGTACCTCCAGGTCTGACTTCATCAATCTCATGGCTAATCATCTTTCCTCTCCTCCAGACTTATTCAACCTATTTATCTTTCTTAACATACAGAGTTGTCCAACGATGATAAAGTTTTCTCAAAGAGATAGCAAGCTCAAGCTTATTTGGCCGGGGCGGGGGGGGGGGGGGTCCCCTAAGCTTCAAGGAAATTACCAAGGAACTTCTAAAATAATAGATTCCCACTGGAGACCACTAAATTACTTTACAGCATGCCCTGGAGTGAGTTGAACCTACTACTCCATCACACCACGTACACTTAAAAAAACAAACAAACAAAAAAGAAAAAAACTTTACCACTAGGCTTTATGTCAGCAAAGTGCTTATTCTGACTTTAAACTAACTTTTCATCAGTGATTTCTGTCATTGTTGACTGGAATGTGAAAGAATAAACAAAGTGAACATTTCCTGTGTCTTTTTGCAAAATGTATATGAGATAGATTAATTACATATAACAGTGATACTGATTAGAGCTCAAGTTTAAAAAGTTACCTTATGAAGGTCAAGATTTAGACTGACATAAGAGGATGGAAAACCTAAATTTTCTACAAATTTGATTGACTTGCACAAAAAGAAGCCCAAAACAAAATTAATGTCATTGAATAAATGCTCTAAAAATGAAAAACTAGGACTTTATAATTGGTCTTTATTCTCAGTGTAAAATGCAAAAGTTCTTACCATAACCAACCATGCCTTGTGAATTCCACATTGACTTAACAACTTCACTAAAAAAAACACTTGGCCCTAGGTATCTAAGAAAGGAAGCTAAATGTCCTATTTAATTTAAATCTTGTAAGCCAGATTTTTAAAATGGGCTAAAATACACACCTCTTAGGTGAAACTAAATTCTGGAATTATGAAAAATTAATTTTACTTCGAGAATTAATGTTCACATTTTGTAGACAGTAAAACCAAACAAATTCAGGTCTAAGCAAAACACAGTTAAATAAAAATTTCCTAAACATTAGTGTGCTACAGAGACAATAAATATTTGATTCCTGGGATAAATTCTGCCAACATAAATTCATTCATTTCCGCTTAAAAAAATAAGATCAAATTTCTTACAATTAAGAAAGACACTTACTTGCTGTGACAGTGCAACAGTAAATCAATAATGAATGTCTGCCAAGCCTTTTCTTTACTAAGAGCATCTAAGGCTGTCGGAATCAAGGCAAAACATAACGTCATCACCTCCAATGCTTCACAGCAAACCTGTTCATCTTCCAAATCTGGCTCATTGCCTGCATTGGTCTGTAAAATTATAGTCAAGGACAAATTACCTAGAGATGTATTTAAGAAAAATCTCATACAAACTTCAAGTTAGTGCTTAAAACTTACCTAGTCACTTAAACCACTTGGCCTCAGCTTCTTTACCTACAACTCTTGAGGCCCCTTTGAAATAGCATGGAAATGAGTATAAACAGATGATAAAAGTCTAATTCTATTCTTTTGCTACGTTCCAAGGATGGCTGAAGGAGCACACTAAGCATATTACCTGCTTCTTTGTCCCCCAAGCTCCTAGAGACCTTCTAAGTTGTGTACTTCTGCACCAACGATCATTCCTTCCTCAAGAACCACTCTGGCACTGCAGAGTACCCAACTTCTGACTAGTCCCATTATGTAGCTTACCTATAGTGCCATTTTATTCAAAAGCAATTGTCTCAGACAACTGTTCAGGAAAGGTCTGAAGGTTTTACGACCTAAAATATGCTTGGGTAGGTAGCTAATAAATTCTAACCTGAAGTTATCAATAAGTAATATTTTATAGTACATGCCTGAAAAAGAACAGGCATTCAAATATGAGCTGAATGAATAACCAACAGTATAGGACATCAACATATATCCCAGGCAAATCACGGTTATGTTGGCCATAAAAGGGAAGCTCCTATAACTTAATTTCCCCTTCTAATATGCAGCACTGGCTACCAGGGGCAGGTATATATAACAGAAAATCAAAGAGTCAAATCTCTTCTGTGAATAACTTGATTAATCTAATGGAAGATCAAGGATGATACCTAATTGGCTGACACTCTTGAATGCTTTAAGAGAGTCAAAAATACTTAAATGCCATGATATCACAACTGACAGTTACCTAAACCAAAATACATAGGACAGAAAGATGATGAAAGAAGAATAAAGAGAATAGGAGAAAACAAATTCAGTATGAAATAATTATACCTGACTTTAGTGAGCAGAAAAAGACAGTTTTATATTAAGATGGCAGACATAATAATCCAGCCTCATGCACAATTAAACATTTTCTTAAAGGTAATATATTTCTGCGATAATTCTTACCTTCTCATAAATTTTAGTGATTTCTTCATTTGGGCTAAATACTAGCTGTAGTGCCCCACATCCTGATGCCCAGATAATTTTTTGTATAGCTCTAATTACACAAATATCAGGCATATATCTTGAAGCCTGCAAGATAATGAGTAATCAAAACAGTTGACACAGTATTAGAGTGGAATAATCACTAGAAAAGCAAAAATGTTTCTCCCTGTAAAGGAAATAGGAATGGCTGTGAAGTAGTACCACTGTCTTTAGGTTCCCAAGTTGCCTTTGTCCCATTATTTCGTTTAACAGCAATACCACAAAGTATGTTCTCCAAGTTATTATCTGGCTCTACACTACTTTCAGAAGAACCTTAAAAAGACTACAGAGGTGATCAAACCATTCCACTCCTAGTTTTTTACCCAAGAGAAATAAAAACTTAGGTCCACACAAACACTTGTACACAATGTTCACAGCAGCTTTATTCACAGCTAAGAAAGAGAATGTCCTTTTCCAAGTATATGGATAAACACAATGTGGAATATTCATAATGGGATATTACTCAGCAATAAAAAGGAATGGACTAATGGTCCACACCACACAGATAATTCTCAAAGTCATTATTCTGAGTGCAAGAAGCCAGACATAAAAGAACACACACTGTATGATTCCACTTGTGTAAAATTCTAGAAAATGAAAACTACTATATAGTAACTAAAGATCAGTGGTTATCTGAGGCCAGGGGTAGACAGGGAAGAAGAGACTTCAAAGGGGCATATGGAAAGAGGGATGGAGACATTCTGTATCTCGACTATGGTGGACATGTGACACAAATATGTATTTGTCAAATTTCACTTAATTATATGCTTTAAAAGGATGCTGTTCATTGTACATAAAGGTGATTAAAACCAGAAAGTACTAATATTATCATTAGGTAAAATTCATGTTAAGGGAACTTTATCTAGACTGAGCCAGTGATTAAAGTGAGTGGGCCTAGGAAAATTAAGCCCCAAAATGTGATAAGGGTTATTTCTACATAAAGAGAGGGTCAAAAGTGAAAGAAACAAACCTTCCAGAATTCCAGAGCCTTACAAATTTAATACTAACCTCATCAGATATTTGCTGAGCAAGACGAATTGACACATTTCTAAGCATGCATTCAGATGACGGATTAGGAATGCTCTGAAGGGCACTTTGTAGCACCACTGCTTGATCATGAGTAACTTGGTTGACCTGAAAAAAGATAAATATTTTACTTTAATACTGCATACATAACCAAATCCAATCATTTGCGCCTCACTCATCATCACTCCCTCAGGATGACCTCCCTTCTGTATATATTCAATACACTGTAGAACCCGTGTGACTTACACAAAAAGTTCTTTGCATTGCCAACAATGTGGGCTTCCTTTTTCTTGTGGAGTGCCACATATCCCTCTGCAAACCCCCATTCTAGATCAATCCAACTTGTGTATCTACATCTGCATTCAGCATAACTTGTAGAGGTGAGTGATAAACTGCAGTCCTATCTAGAAACTCAGTAAAGTACTTCACATGCATGCTCCTGGGCAGACCCTGCTCCCCATTCACCCTGATCATCAAACTTTTTTTAGAAAAGAAAAATTAAGGAATATCAATAACAGAATAAAAATACTAATGTATAAAAGGTACCAGACCAAATTTTTAAGCCCATAAAGAAAAAAGATTATTTATTTTTTTTTTGTGGTACGTGGGCCTCTCACTGTTGTGGCCTCTCCCGTTGCGGAGCACAGGCTCTGGACGCGCAGGCTCAGCGGCCATGGCTCATGGGCCCAGCCACTCCGCGGCATGTGGGATCTTCCCGGACCGGGGCACGAACCCGTGTCCCCTGCATCGACAGGCGGACTCTCAACCACTGCGCCACCAGGGAAGCCCAAGATTACTTTTAAGTCGTTATTAGCCAGGCAATTCTGACTGCCTTTCAAGTTCTAACTCTTCTCCATATTGTAAGTATTTCTACAACAGTATTTAAGACAAGTCTGTTTTTTACTAATTTTGCCTTTACCGCCATATTAACTGTGAGCTCCTTGAGATTAGAGGCTATTATGTACCTCTGTATACACAGTGGCACATTTTCTGAATAAAAGAGAAAAGTGAAAGAAGGGAGCATTTATATTTTGTGTTCTTCATTAAGCTCCTGTGTCAGGGATTACGATAAGAATCTGTTTTTATCTTAAGAAGAACACCACTTTAAAAAAATCCTAGTAAGCGTGGTACTTTTAATGCAAAACAATTTAAGACTTGGGCCACTTTTTTTCATTACCCTTTTTAATGAAAATGGAGAGAAAAGGATTATGAACGCATATGTACCCACCGCCCAGCTTCAACAATTATGAACAAAGGACCAAAATTACTTTGCCTAACCACTCCCCTCACTTTCCATCCCGGCCCCACCCCAGGATTATTTTGAAGCAAATCCTAAATAAAATTTCATCTGTAAATACTTCAACATTTTTTTTTTTAAAGAGGGGGGCTCTTATTTTATTTTATTTTTGCGGTACGCAGGCCTCCCACCGCTGCGGCCTCTCCCGCTTCAGAGCACAGGCTCCAAACGCGCAGGCCCAGCAGCCATGGCTCACGGGCCCAGCCGCTCCGCAGCACGTGGGATCCTCCCGGACCGGGGCACGAACCCGTGCCCCCTGCATCAGCAGGCGGACTCTCAACCACTACGCCACCAGGGAAGCCCCGGGGCTCTTCCTTTTAAACATAACCACAGTATCATCATCACACCTAAAACAATTATAAATGCTATTATCTCAATTATATGTTATTATTATAGTATCACATATCTAATCAATATTCTAATCTCAAGGCCTAAGCCATTCGTTCTTAAAATAGAAAATCTATATTCCTGAAGCTTTTATCTTCTATTGGTAACTAAGTAAACCATCACTTATGATGCATACAAAACAAGTCAAATGTGTAGTTTGACTTCTCATAAATAGGCATTGAATTCTGGCATGTCTTGAGAACCTTTGGTAAAATGGATCAAGGTAAAAACAGAGTCAAAATAAGTTCAGAATTGGAGGTTAAGACTGTCAAGGTGGGAAGAGAGGCTGGCAACAGGCTAAAATCAACTACAGTTCATCCTTGAATGGCATGGGGGTTCAGAGGACAGACATTCTAGGAGTCGAAAATCTGCATATAACTTTACAGTCGACCCTGGGTATCTGTGGTTCCAATCAATTTAGGATCATGTAGTACTGTAGTACTTATTGAAAAATCCATGTATAAGCAGACTTGAGCAGTTCAAACCTGTGTTGTACAAGGGTCAACTGTACATCTTTTTTATTACCACCTGTGTGTGTGTGTGTGTGTGTGTGTGCGTGCGTGCCAGATACGAGCTAGGAAGATTCACATGGAGTTTTTAGTAGGTTTAAAATAAATGAAGGAAGGAATTCGCTGGTGGTCCAGTGGTTAGGACTCTGCGCTTTCATTGCCGAGGGCCTGGGTTCAATCCCTGGTTGGGGAACTAGGATCCCTCAAGCGGTGCAGAGGCCGAACAATAAAACAGAATAATTGAAAGACTATTTGGGGTTTTTAGCGGTTCCATACAAACTTTAGGATTATCTGTTCTAGTTCTGTGAAAAATGTCACAAGTTTTGATAGCAATTGAATTAAATCTATACATTGCATTGGGTATGAACATTTTAACATTAATTCTTCCAATCCATGAACACAGGATAACTTTCCATTTCTTCGTATTGTATTACAATTTCCTTCTATCAACGTTTATAGTTTTCAGGGTATAGGTCTTTCACTTCCTTGGTTAAATTTATTGCTAGGTGGTTTTTTTTTTGATGTGATTGCTTCCTTCATTTCCCTGATAGTTCATTATTAGTGTATAGAAATGCAACAGAGTTCTATATATCAATCTTGTGTACTGCAGCTTTACTGAATTCACTTATTAGTTCTAATGGTTTTTTGGTGGAGTCTCTAGGGTTCTATACGTATAGAATAGTACCATGATCATCTGCAAACAGTGATCCAGCAATTCCAGTCCTGGGTATATATCTGAAGAACATGAAAACACTAATTTGAAAAGATATATGCACCTCAGTGTTCACAGCAGCATTATTCACAATAGCCAAGATATGGAAGCAATGTAAGTGTTCATCAACAGATGAATGGATAAAAAAGATGTGGTGTGTGTGTATACAATGGAATATTATATTATTCAGCCATAAAAAGAATGAAATAAGTCCGACAAAGAAAAGACAAATACTGTATATTTTCATGTATACGTGGAATCTAAAAAATAAAACAAACAAATATAACTAAACAGGAACAGAACCACAGATACAGAAAACAAACCAGTGGTTACCAGAGGGGAGAGAGGCAAAATAGGTGAAGGGGATTAAGAAGTACAAACTACTAGGTATAAAATAAGTGAGCTATAAGGATGTAAGGTGGGGATTTCCCTGGTGGCACAGTGGTTAAGAATCCGCCTACCAATGCAGGGGACACGGGTTCGAGTCCTGGTCTGGGAAGATCCCACATGCCGTGGAACCACTAAGCCCGTGTACCACAACTACTAAGCCTGCGCTCTAGAGCCCACGAGCCACAACTACTGAAGCCCGTGCACCTAGAGCCTGTGCTCTGCAACAAGAAGCCCGCGCGCCGCAACAAAGAGTAGCCCCCACTCGCGGCAACTAGAGAAAGTCCGTGCGCAGCAACAAAGACCCAACACAGCCAAAAATAAATAAATAAACAAATTAAAAAAAAAAAAGGGATGTAAGGTACAACACAGTGAATATAGCTAATATTTTATAATAACTATATGGAGTATAAGCTATAAAAATATCAAATCACTTTGTTGCACACCTGAAACTAATATAATATTGTAAGTCAACTACACGTCAAAAAAAATTAATCAAAAGTCAAACAGGATTTAAGGGAACAGGGAAGAACTGCCCTCTCAGAGTAGAGTCAGTGAAAAGCATTTGTAATTTTAATACAAATATAATTCAATAGAAGGAAACCATTAAAATGAGGAATCACTGGAAAGGAACTGAAAACATTTTGAATCAACTCTGAACTCTATAAGCAACTCTTAAGAGTTTCTAAGAAGTTTAACTTTAAAAGTTGTCACCTATTATTACAAAAAGATTTTTAAAAAGTCTGTATTACCGACGCCATGGGATTCACGCCTTCCACACCTGGCTGACAAGCTTCCGCCACAGCTCGTACATGGCCATAGCCAATGGCAGTTAGCAACAGCTTGGCTATTTTAAGAGCATTGAGGTAGGCACCCCTTCGAGTTTCCATATCTGCATTTGGTAGGAAGTTATTTCTGGTTAGCATACTCAGGACAAGGGGTAGGCCACCACTTTTCAAGAAGTGAAATTGAAAATCAGAGGAATCATCAGCCAGAGGTGCACCAGCAGGCATTAACAAGGCATAGACTACCTGGAAAAAAGTAGAACTGTATTAAAAGGTTTTAAGATAATTTCTTATTTTCCTCATCATCATTGCTTTAAAATTTTCCCATATTTTGAAATTCTTTCAAGAACATTTCATTACAATTTTATCCATGTTCTTCACATTATCATATAAAAGGTCAAATTTCAAGAACATGGAATAAATTCAAAAAGTAAAAACCAACCTCTGTTAGGTATAGCACTTGTGAGGCTGAAGGACCAAAGAAAAGCGAGTCAAGAGATGGACTAAGGCTGCTTTCTCCAAGTTTGGCGTGGTCTAAACAAATAGCTCTTAATTTTTCTATTGTTGTGCTATCTGTAAGAAAAAAAAGATACATAGTCTAAAATAAAACACAATTCATGCATTCATAGTATTTTACTTTTGATATTCTGAAGACTACTTTTAGTATGGAATAAGAATCAATTCAGCTGAGTTACAGGCTCAAACTTTACAAGACATAACCAGATCTGGATTGGTTTAAAAAAAAAAAAAGTCCCAGTCAACCAGGGCTCTTTAATCACTCAACCCAAACACGAAGGAAGCATTCTCCTCCTATACGGAGACCTCAAATCAACATGTCTTCCTCAGGCACTAGAGACCAAAAAACTACAACACACTTCAAAAGGAAGTAGTTCTTATTGAAAATAAAAAACTGGACATATGACAAGCCCTTCCTTCCAACTTATGTTAGCCTCCATGACACTGTGTATTAACTCAACAGTCCCCTACCTTTTTGGCACGGGGCACCAGTTTCGTGGAAGACAATTTTTCCACAGACCGGGGTGGGGGGGATTGTTTTGGGATGATTCAAGTGCATTACACTCATTGTGCACTTTATTTCTATTATTATTACATTGTAATATATAATGAAATAATTATACAACTCACCATAATGCAGAATCAGTGGGAGCCCTGACCTTGTTTTCACTTGTCACTCACTGATAGGGTTTTGATATGAGTCTGCAAGTAATTGATTTATTATGGTCTCTGTGCAGTCAAACCTCTCTGCTAATGATAATCTGTGTTTGCAGCCGCTCCCCACAGCAGTAGCATCACTGCCTCAGCTCCACCTCAGATCATCAGGCATTAGATTCTCCTAAGAAGCGTTCAACCTAGATCCCTTGCATGCGCAGTTTACTGTAGAGTTCGGGCTCCTATGAGAATCTAGCTGCCGCTGACCTGACAGGAAGCAGAGCTCAGGCAGTAATGAGTGATGAGGAGCGGCTGTGAATACAGATGAAGCTTCCTTTGCTCACTGGTCGGGCCTGCTGCTCAACCCCTGCTGTGCGGCCAGGTTCCTAACATGCCACAGACCGGTAGCAGTCCGTGGCTTGGGGGTTGGGGACCCCTGTATTAACTGGTTTGTTACAATGAAAGAAGCTTACTGGTATCCTTGGAAACTGAACCTTAAAAAGCAAACATTAAAAAAAAAAAGGGAACAGTGCCTAATGTGCACATCAAGTAAAAAGATTTTTTTGATAATATTAAAAGATGAGTTTCATTTAAATCACACTAAAAAGATACAGTAAAAAAGAAACAATCCCATTATTAGCTACCACTCAAACTTACTTCAAAAAGTACTTCAATAATCAAATTATTTCCAAGGTAAATGCCCTATGATTAAAATACCACTCGATAAATAAGATTTTCTTTTTAAGTAAAAGCTTTTCTTGAAGAATAAAGATAACTGAAAATTACTATAATTTCCTTAGGGTAAGCTAATTTTTACAGGCCTGGAAATATAAAAAAAACTTCAATTTGTGTTAAAATTGTTGGCTTTCCCTATTCTGAAGGGAGAGTGACATATAACTAACTGAAATATTCGGTTTTAATAATAAAACATTTGTGAATATCTTCTCCTGTCATTAAATATCCATCCCCTATATCATTTTATATTAATGATTAAAATGACATGTCCTTTTGCCAGTACACTAGTTTAATCTCTAACACTGGGTATTTAGGTTTTCTCAATTTTTTTTTAAACAATATCTAAGTTACTCTCTGAAAAGAAACCAATTCATATGCTGTATCTGAAAATATCTTGCTTAGTTTAAAAATATTCTGAGTGGGGCTTCCCTGGTGGCGCAGTGGTTGAGCGTCCGCCTGCTGATGCAGGGGACACAGGTTCGTGCCCTGGTCCGGGAAGATCCCACATGCCGCGGAATGGCTGGGCCCGTGGGCCATGGCCGCTGAGCCTGCGTGTCTGGAGCCTGTGCTCCACAACGGGAGAGGCCACAACAGTGAGAGGCCCGCGGACCGCAAAAAAAAAAAAAAAAAAAAAAAAAAAAAAAAAATTCTGAGTGAAGGAGGGAGGGCAAAGGGAATAGGAGAAAAGAAACAAGAGCTCTAAGAAAAGGAAGCACTGAATTTTAAGCAAATCATTTAATGTTGTTGGATTATAGTTTATTCATTTGAGGGATCTGAACCAAATGATCACTAGTGGCCATTCCAGCTTCAGCATTCATGAACCTAAATAATCTTAGGTCCTCGATTATGCACATGCTCATTTAACAAAATATGGAAAATAGAGACAACAAATTTAAACTGCCCATAAATCCTGGATTTTAGTTTATTTCTTTCTAGTCTTTTGAAGAGATACCTAATAAGCCTAATCAATAGCAACACAGTATAAGAAAGTCTAGAAAACGTTGAGCAGTAACACACAGGTTAACAGTACAAACTTTGGAGCCCAACTGCATGCATTATCTTAGAACTGCCTTTAAGCTGTGTGTCTCTGGTCAAAAGGAACAATCTCTCGGTGCCTCAGTTTCCCCATCTTTAAAATAGAAGTAAAAATAGTAATTCCCTCCCTAGGAATGTTGTGAGGTTTAAATGAGTTAACAAGTGTGAAGTGCTCATAACAGATTTTGCCATATTTTAAGATATTAGTTAGACCAAACTCCTGGGAAAAAGGAAGCTCTGAAGAGGAAAAGCAACTCATTCTGCTTAGTAAAGCAATATAAATTTTAATTTCTCTGTATCAAGCAAGAACCTGTTTTCCTGATGCGTATAAAGGTCACAAGAACTCCTGAGGAGTTTAAATTACAAGAGTTTAAATTACCTACAGAGACTATTGTAGAGGTTCTAAGTTTAACAGCAAATCATACTGGAGGCACTGGACTTTAGGCAAAGATTCAGAATAAAAGTAAAGTCAATGACTAATAAAAAAGCTTCTAATTCCATCTTGTTGTTTCCTCCTTTTAAAATACGTGCACGTGTGCACAAACACTAAATGATTACCCAAATGTTAGAAACAGAATTTATAACTACTTCCTTTTCTTAGAGCCCCTGCTTCCTATCTTAGAGAAGAATGTGCGCGCCCATGTGTGTAACAACCACAGTGACAAAGAGTAGGTTAACATTTGTTGAATAGTGATTAAATACCCGTCACTAGGCTAGGGGTTTTCCATACATGACCTCATTTAATCCATGCAATTCTATGAAATAGTTATTATTAGCTCAGTTTTACAGATAAGGAAGCTCTGAGAAACTAAGAAAACTCATGTTTAAGGCCATGGAGTAGCAACTTGAAGAAGCAGGACTTGAACTCAAGTCCATTTGAGTCCAAAGCCTATGTATGATCTGTCTACTGTCATACAATCACTACTGGCATTTTCAAAGCTGGCTATTTCAAATTTAGGTACTATACTTCGATTATATAAAATAAGATTAAAGCACCCTCGTAAGTTTCCTGCTTGAGCTGCTCAGCAAGAGCTCCCTCTCGCCATCTAGTGGCACTATGCTCAAATCACAAGGTCAGGGATTATGAGATGGGTTTTTCCTTTTCAAATGTTGAATCTGTGTACATAAAGCAACAACAGCTGTTACTCAGATACTAGTAAGTAAAACAATACAAATTCTAAACTACACAACAGATAAGGATCAAATTAAATCATAAGAAAAGCCTTCTTAACAGAGCAAATAAAAACTCAATTAGAAAAAAAAGAAAAGCCTTATTTAAGAATCTAATTAACATCTGAATCGATTCTGTACCACATGACTCAGAAAGTGAGATCAGATGGGAAAGGTCAGACCGTGTCTACTTTAGAAAAAGGAGATAATGTAAACACAACAGTTTTAAAAATTATCTGGGCCAATTATTGAACTGCATTTGTCAGCAAGGCATCCATAAACCCCACTAAAATGAGAATAAATTAATATAAAATATATAAACTCAGAAGGATAAAGAAGTTAAAAGCTGAAGGAACATTAGAGATGTCAGCAAATTACTGAAGGTGTAGAGGGGATGGAAGATAGCTGGCTTAGCTGAACCCAAGAAGTGCTTCTTGGGGGGTAAGAGAAAGAGGGAGAGGGTACCTATAAATCAGCACTCCACCAAGTCCTGCAAAAGTTAAGGATATGAAAACAGAACATAATTGAGAAGGTACAGATGAATCAAAGACTTAAAAACAGAGTGCCTGAAATCTGCCTAAGAGGCAAATTTCTACTCTACCTCCCTCCCCAATAGACTAATGAAGCTGGGAAGCAGATATCTCACTAATGTAGAGAATAGATACAAATATGGAATGCAAAAGACTAAAAAGCTGGATTAGTACCAGTATGAACCCATGTTTGTTTTTTGATATAAATGTGTTTACATACGTGTGTGTGTGTGTTTAAGTGTGTACTACTTCCTAAGTCCAATGAAAATGCCTAGACCACAAGAACACCCCAGTAGTAATGAGCACAATTTAGCCCTCACATTCTGGTTTCTAAATATCTTCCCTCACTAAAAGGAGAAATGTCTGATTCTAGGGCTGGAATAGAGAAAGTACTAGATGAACTTTAAATATCTTATGCCAGAAAGAACTACTCAAAGGATGATGAAGCTATATTAAAAAAAAGCACTGGGTTTATGTAAAAAAGAGAGTTGGGTACATATCCACTGACCATATCTGGGACAACTGAGCATCAAAATAAATAATGACTATAACCCAATGGATAAAATAAGAATCCATGAGTAAACAGTGATAACACATAATTAATAGGGGAGAAGGCAAAGCTCTACTTTATAGTAGAATGCCAATATCCTTGCTTGTTGGAAATACACAATAAAGTATTTAAGGATGATGGGACATCAGACCAGCAGCAAATTACTCTCAAATGGTTCTTGAAGTCCTCGAATTGTACTTCAAACTTTTCTGTAAGGTTGTAAATGTTTCCAAAAAACATTAAAAAATTTTTTTAAAGTTGTATAGGATTGAATGATCTGATTGAATTCTCTCTTTCCACAAGCTCTGTTATTTTTAGTGCATAACTTTGTAGAATGTTAAGTTTTAGAGGAAAACACATATATTAGACTAGAAACACTGAAATGTGCTCATGAAAAAATCCTATGGAAAAGGATCACTTGGAGGAAGGTCTTGAAAATTTAACACTAGAATATCTGGGGACAAAAAGCCAACAGAAGAGCTGGAAAAAGTTAAGGATACCATCCAAAGCTGGAATATAATTAATGAGAGGAGAAAGGAAAGGCAAGAAAATCAGATTTAGTAGATTCAACACCACAGTCAAAGACATCTCAAAGATCCACAAAAAGCAAAACACGGAGAAGTAAATTAGCAAAGAAAGAACAGAAATCTCTCACAAATTAGGAATCTCCAGGCCCACTGAAAACCCATCACAAAGCAGACCTATACCAAACAAGGCATTTCATCAGGAAAGTTGTAAACTCAATGATAAAACCAAAACTTCCAAAAACAAAGATCAAAAGCAAAGGAATATCTTGCAATGTTGGTGGGAATGTAAACTGATATAGCCACTATGGAGAGCAGTATGGAGGTTCCTTAAAAAACTAAAAATAGAACTACCATACCATCCAGCAATCCCACTACTGGGCATATACCCTGAGAAAACCATAATTCAAAAAGAGTCATGTACCACAATGTTCACTGCAGCTCTATTTACAATAGCCAGGACATGGAAGTAATCTAAGTGTCCATTGACAGATGAATGGATAAAGAAGATGTGGCACAAATATGCAATGGAATCTTAGCCATAAAAAGAAACGAAATTGAGTTATTTGTAGCAAGGTGGATGGACCTATAGACTGTCATACAGAGTGAAGTCAGTCAGGAAGAGAAAAACAAATACTGTATGCTAACACATATATATGGAATCTAAAAAAATGGTTCTGAAGAACCTAGGGGCAGGACAGGAATAAGGACGTAGACATAGAGAATGGACTTGAGGACATGGGGAGGGGGAAGGGTAAGCTGGGACAAAGTGAGAGAGTGGCATGGACATATATACACTACCAAATGTAAAACAGAAAGCTAGTGGGAAGCAGCCGCATAGCACAAGGAGATCAGCTCGGTGCTTTGTGACCACCTAGAGGGGTGGAATAGGGAGGATGGGAAGGAGACAGATGGAGGAGATATGCCGATATATGTGTATGTATAGCTGATTCACTTTGTTATAAAGGAGAAACTAACACACCATTGTAGAGCAATTATACTCCAAAAGATGTTAAAAAAAAAAGCATACGTAACTATTAAAAAAAAAAAAGGCAAAGGAATAGAACTCAGGAGAGCTTTGGTCTTCACACAAGCAACATTACCAGCTAGACAGTTGAGTAAATTTGCAAGCTAGAATTCAACACCCAAACTACTAATCAAATGCGAAGGTTAAGCATTCAGATTAGCAATGTTTCAGAAACAAATAACAAAACCACCTCCCACGTACCCTTTCTGAAATAAGTGCAGGAGGGTGTGCTTCAGCGAAATGACAGAGCCCCTCAAGAAAGGCTCAAGACATAGGAGCCAGTGAACAGGGATCCACCATAGGAAAGCTGAAGAAAGAAGTCCCCAAATGGTAGCTGTGTGGTGAACAACCAGATGAGAGGAGGCTGAAGAAAAGTTCCAGGACAACAGTGGAGCTGACAGATTATATAATACACATAATAAGGGAAAATTATTCTGAGAGGTTACTAGAGAATATGTGGAAAGAATTAGTAATAGATGTATAGAAAATCAAGAAAATAAAAAGGGGAAATTATTAAACCCTGAAAAAAAGTTGCCATTAATCCAGCAAACTACTTTTCACACACTCTTGAAAAAACAAATGCTGAATATGAATTTAAGAAAAAACTGGAAGAGGGACTTCCCTGGCAGCCCAGTGGTTAAGACTCCACGCTTCCACTGCAGGGGCTGCAGGTTTGATCCCTGGTTGGGGAACTAAGATCCCACATGCCACATGGTGTGGCAAAAAAAAGAAAAGAAAAAATTGGAAGAATGTGGAATTAAGAGGTAAGTTTTCATTTACACAACAGAAAATCAGTAGGTATCTAAAACTGACAAACAGTTGTATGAGGGTATTATTTACAGATAGTATAGACATAGATAAGAATAAGAGCTACCAATTGAAAGTGGTTGTTTCCCAGGAATGAAAAAGGAACAATGCTATAGATGACACATGACCCAAAACATAGTCCAGGGGCCAGAAAATTTTTTCTGTAAAGGGTCAGATAGTAAATATCTAAGGCTTTGCAGGTCATATGGTCTTTGCCACAACTGCTGCTGTGCTAAGACAAAAGCAGCTAAGACAGTGAGTACATGAATGAGCATGGCTTGTACACCAATAAAACTTTGTTTATGGACACCAAAATTTAAATTTCATATAATTTTCATAAGTCACAAAATATTATTCTTCTGATTTTTTCTTCAGCAATTAGAAAATGTAAAAACCATCCTTAACTCTTGGGCTGTACCAAAAACAGACAGTGGGTTGGATGTAGCCAGTGAGCTATAGTTTGCCAACTCCTGTTATTTTCCATCTAGGAAGAGAATTTGCTAACATACCCCTTTACTGTCCAACATGTACTTTATCAACATTATTATCATTTAAAGAGAAATTTCTTACCTGGTGGCATAAGTTTCATAAGTACTCTTGCTCCATCTCTAAGAGGTGGCATATTTAGGCTGCTACCCAAGTCTGCAACTTGCCAAAGGAAAGAGATGTATCTGGGATGCAGTGACATTATCTAGAATACAAAATACACAAAATATTTACCTGTAAATTACACCTCCCCAAAAGAAGAGTCCCCAAATAAATGTGTTGGTTTATCTCCACAGTTTTGCTTATGTCATTTCTATCCTGAAATGGTCTGCCTACCCCATCATCTCACTTTTAGAAATCCTTCATAATGTAGACTGAACACATTATCCAAGCCACCTTCTGCACTTTGTGACAGCTTTTTTACTGTTTTGTTAAACTATTCCTCTTGTACATACAAGTCAGACTCTGTATAAACAAACGGCTGCCATGCCCACTAACAGTTAAATTCCTAATGCAACTGTTGTAGAAAGCCAATCCTTCTGACACTGGAGTGGCTGGTATTATTGTAGCCATTAAAATTTTTGTGGGGAGGTAAGGAAGGAAGGAATCACTTTCTTTAGAAACAAGATATGTTACTGACAATCTAAGAAAGACTGCAGATATTTTCCTACAGAAACAGTTCTGAAGAATTCATTTTTGTGGTACAAATACAAAATACAGTGGTTATTTTGCTCAATAAACTCAACAGTTATAATTAAATTGTATAATGGGCTAGTTTTATGTAAATATAACAACACTATATCTATACAAAATGTGGTTTTAAATTTCAACCAGGTTACAATCACCTTTCAAAGGGATCCATTCTGAAGTTGATGGTTAAATGTACAGTTATTTGATGTTCTGCCACATTAAATTGTAAGTTCAAGAAAAAAGAACTATTCTGTGTACTTTATTCTTAAACAACCTAGCAAAATGCCTTGCATACAATAGCTCAGAACTATCTACTCACCACCCCAGGCAAACAGCTTTCCACTTCTGGATTGGGACCATCACTGTAATGATTACCATGGTTTCCAGGAGATCCAGTTGAGGAATCAGAAGAACTATCAGGGCTTGAAGGCATATTGGAACTTATTTGTGTAAGTTTGGCTGTAATTAGCTGAAAATGATATACTATGTTAGTACCAAAGACAAGGAAAAATACACAAAACAGAAGTTAGTGACATACCAACAAAAAACAAAAAACTACACATTATATTTTTAGAAATATAATTTATAACTGTTGTCTAACATAACCACTTAGTTTTGTTTTCAGAAATCTTTTCCTCTACTATATTATAGGTACCATAATGCCTGTCTTATTTAGTGTTATAATTCAAACACCTAATACAGAAAATACAGAGCCTCACACATAACAGATGCTCCATTAACATTTACTGAGTGAAATGTTGACTACAAAAATGAAAGAGTCCCCGGTTTGATTTTCTTGAAAAGTTTGGTAATTATAGATACTTACCGATTTATCCTTTAAGTTTAACTGTCCAATCAACTTTCTATCATCTGCAGGATCTATCAGTTCGCCACCTACAAAGAGCTCAATTTTTGTATGAGCTACATTGGCTTTGATACGATTGAGAATACATCGCCGTACTGAACCGATTGTATCATTTGTATGAGACCATACGTCCAAGTCATCAACCTGTCTGCCCTGGTTTGGAAATCGAACTATAAAAGAAAGGTGTTTACCACGGAAAGCTCTGGGGGAAAAAAAAGGGAAACCATCATCATATTCAGCAGATTTTCAAATCTTTTTGCAAAGAAAATAAAGCTAGCAATTTAAAATTGAATATTTTTTTACTAAACAAGAGAAAGCGAGTTAAAGACACATTATTTTTAGGAACTTGAAAATATTTACTGCTCCTTTTAACTACAAATATTATAGTAATCTTCAAAACACAATCATATTTCACTGTTGTTACTCTTGGACCTATAGTTTACAGGTATCTAGTTATAAGACATTACAACAGACATGAGTAACATTTATTTTTAATGCTATAAAAGCCCAACTAATGTCAAAAGTCATCCCCAAAATGATATTTATGTTGGCATATTATCTTCCTGCAGGTAAGATACAAAAAAATAAAAAACATATTCAAGGAGCAATTTTAATAATTTCATGGTTAAAAAGAGAACTCAAATACGAATGGCTCACATTCTATAAATATCTCTAAATTATACATATTATTTGAGTATACTAAATGGTGAAATCTTAAGAGAAACGTTAATAGACCCGAAGATGAGTGAATTAGGTAAGGGAAATTTTAAGAGGTACAAACTTCCAGTTAGAAAATAAATGAGTCATGGGATGACAGGTGGTAACTAATCATGGTGATCATTTTGTAATGTAAGGAAATATTCAGGCATTATGTTGTATACCAAGAACTAACATAGTGTTGCAGCTCAATTATACTTCAACATCAAACAAACTCACAGAAAAAGAGATCAGATTTGTGATTACCGGGCTGGGGGGCGGGACAGGGGAGGGAGAACTGGATGAAGGCAGTTAAAAGGTACAAACTTCCAGTTTTAAGATAACTGAGTACTAGAGATGTAATGCTCAACATGATTAATAAACACTGCTCTATGTTACATATGAAAGCTGGTAAGAGAATAAATCCTGAGTTCTTGTCACAAGGGAAGAGATTTTTTCCTTTTTCTTTCTTTTGTATTTATATGAGATGATGGATGTTCACTAAACTTATTGTGGTAATCATTTCATGATGTACCAAGACAAATTATTATAAACTTATAAAGGCTGTATGTCAATTATATCTCAATAAAACTGGAAGAAAAAAAAGAGAGAAATGTTAGTAGACCATTTTAAAATATTTCTTGCTATACTGGCTATCTGTCAAAGCAGCTTTTAAGAGTTCTCTCCAATTACTCTGCAACCAGACTATGCTATTATTTTTAACAGTGGAAATGAATGGCATCAAAGCACTTCAACGGCAAAATACCCCTGGCAACACTTAACAGGCAACAAAGTCAATGGCAAAAAAACCCCCAAACAAACAAAAAATGACCAACCAGAATAAAAAGAAGAAACTAGAGGGCTTCCCTGGTGGCGCAGTGGTTAAGAATCCGCTTGCCATTGTAGGGGACACGGGTTCGAGCCCTGGTCTGGGAAGATCCCACATGCCGCGGAGCAACTAAGCCTGTGCACCACAACTACTGAGCCTGTGCTCTAGAGCCCACGAGCCACAACTACTGAAGCCTGTGCGCCTAGAGCCCGTGCTCCGCAACAAGAGAAGCCACTGCAATAAGAAGCCCACGCACCGCAACGAAGAGCAGCCCCCGCTCGCCGCAACTAGAGAAAGCCCACGCACAGCAACGAAGACCCAACGCAGCCAAAAAAAAAAAAGCCATTAAGTTAAAAAAAAAAAAGAAGAAGAAACTAGATTTGAGAATGCCCTAAACAAAAACAAGCAAAAAACAGATCCTGAAAACAAAAAAGGCCTACTGTTAAAAAAAAAAAAAAAAAATTCTGTAAGATACAAATACTGTTTTAAAGCAAGACACTAATGTTTTCAAAAAATGAACAATTTCCTCTCCTTCTTCCTGTACATCATCACTTTTTAAAATCAAATGGCTAGGAAAATGTCAAATAATTAAGAAGTAGCACTAGTAGATCAGTTATTCACAAACCTCGACATAGGTAGAATTGTTCTTTCCTCATGATAATCACTGTCACATTCATTTATATACTCCCGTAACACAGTTAATACTCGAACCATTCGAACAGCTTCCTGTCTTGCACAATTAATACTGTCTTTGTCACCATCCAAAACACACAGTGTGTCGTAGGAGGCTTTCAAGCGATCAAAGCAAGACTGAATGAAGTCTTCATGGATTACCACCTACAAATAATGGGCCAAATAAAGACAGTTCAAGTTTTATATGTATATAAAGTGTTTCATATATATTAATAAAACATTAATCTAATTAAAGATGGCAACAATTTTAAGGTAGATCTCATTTAACCATGATCCTATTTAACGAGAGAATCTATATTGATAATTGATAATAAAATATGTTTGAGAACAGACTTGTGGCTGCCAAGGGGGAGAGAGGGTGGGGGAGGGATGGATTGGGAGTTTGGGATTAGCACATGCAAACTACTATATACAGAATGGATAAAAACAAGGTCCTACTGTATAGCACAGGTAACTATATTCAATGTCCTCTGATAAACCATAATGGAAAAGAAAATAAACAAAGAATGTATATATAACTGAATCTTAGCTGTGCAGCAGAAATTAACACAGCATTGTAAAATCTACTATACATCAATAAAATAGAAACAACAACAAACACACACTATGTTTTGTCAAAGGAAGCTAACATTATTTAAGTTAACAAGTATAAACTAGATACACAAAAAATGAACTTCAGGATTAGGTGTCAGAATGGAAAGAAATTCGGCCGAAATCTCCTACCATAACTATACTCAAAATAATCACTTCAAGATAATTATATCAAGATGAAACTCATTTAGACAGCATTTCGTAGGAGAGAAATGTGGACTAAATATTTTAGGTATGTTTTTATAATACGAATTGAAACAAAAACAATTTCTTGTTAATCTTGAAGTAAAGAAAAAAATTCTTATTAGCAACAGTTCTTCAATCAGAATTCAAATTCGTGTAAGTTTTAATACATGTCAATCCTCACCTGATTGACCTGTAGCCTTGGACCAAGGTTCGTGTATATCTCTTTAAGGAGATCTATAGCTCTGCTGGCAATATCATCATTACTCTGAATCACCACCTAGGTTCAAAAAGATTCAAGTGTAAATACCTTTCAAGAAATATTTCAGCTGGGCATTTCCATTCTAACCATACCTTCAGTTATTTTTAATACAGCATTCAATAATTTAAAAGGGAACATCGACTTTGATAATCAAGTAAAATTAAAGTGAGAAAACAGACCAAAAATATAACAAATGCAAAACTCAAGTCTTTGAATAAATCAAGTTAAGAAAGAAAGACACATTTTACTAAGAATAAAATATGCTGTCATTAGTATTATTTAACCCTGCAATTCAACACCCTGGTAACCAAGCAGTGAGATATTAAGGAAGGAATTCAAATTAATTAAAGGAAACAAAGATTATATGAAATACAGCTTACCATAAAAGGCTACCCACCCCTACCCCATTTGTATAGATCTTCATCACTCATCTAATCATTTCAGTGGTTTTCAAACTATGTATAGAACTCTAGGAGTGATGACGAGTTTTAGGGATGAACCCTATAATAGGCTTGGGAGGGGGAAGGGAGTGAAGCATAGGGAGACTGAGTCGCAAGAAAAAATCACGCTTTCCTTTCTCACTTCAACTAGTTTTACACTTTGGAGTATTATCTAAATTTTGACTTTTAAAAAGGGTCTCTGCTGTTTAAAAATGTTGAAAACCACGTACTTAAAGTCTGAATACTCAAATACCAAAGTAAACAACTTGGTCTGTCTGCAGAAAAATATTTCATATCCAGAAAACAATATAAACTGCTGTGAACAGATCAGATTTTTAAAGACAGGAATAATATATTAATACTATAGTAGAACAACATGGACGGAACTTGAGGGAATTATGCTAAGTGCTAGTAAGTCAGACAGAGAGAGACAAATAATGTGTGATCTCACTTATATGTGCAATCTAAAAAAATAAAAAACACAAACAAAAAATTGAACTCATAGATACAGAGAACAGATTAATGGTTGCCAAATGGTGAACGGGTTCAAAAGGTACAAACTTCCAGTTATAAAATTAGTAAGTCCTGGGGATGTAATGCAGAGCACAGTGACTATAGGTAATAATACTGTACTGCATATTTGAAAGAGTGAATGGTAAGAGAGTAAATTTTTTTTTTGGCCAAGCCACAAGCTTTCGGGATCTTAGTTCCCCAACCAGGGATTGAACCCAGGCCACAGCAGTGAAAGCACCAAGTCCTAACCACTGGACCACCAGGAAATTCTTGAGTAAATCTTAAAAGTTCTCATTACAAGAAAAAAAAAATGTAACTGTGTAGTGATAGATGTTAACTAGACTTATTGTGATCATTTTGCAATATGTACACATCAAATCATTATGCTGTATACCTGAAACTAATGCAGTGTTGTATGTCAAATATATCTCAACCAAAAAAAAAAAAAAAATATA